CTGGGGTTTTTTTTTTTTGGGGGGTTTTGTGTGGGGTTTGGGTTTTTTTCTCTTTTTTTGATGTTGGTGGGTTTTTTTAATTATTATTTGGCTGTCACGTTCCAGAAATCACAGTTCAAAATTTAGTTTAAAGAGCAGGTCAGAGTCTGATTAAATGGTCTGGCAACATCTTTTATTGTATGAGATACCTCCCACTGTAGGTATCTGTTTCCTTTCCCTGGAGTGGCAGTGCCTGAATATCAACACTTGAGCTCCCAAATTTTTGGCAAAAAGTGTGGAGAGGATGTCTTTAAAAGGCGTGGAGAAAACTTTCTCCTGCCTTTCCAAAAAGAGAAGGCAAGAGCTGATGGATTGCAGAGAAGCACAACCCAGGAGCGAGTTACCCATCAGTGCAGGGAGGAGCTGAAGCCAATCCTGAACTGCAAAGCTCTTGTTATGACCCTGCTGGTTGCTTGTACTGCTCATATCTGCAGCAGGAGATGAAATCACTTTCTAGCTGGAAAGTGCCTTTTGCCCTGCCCTGGCTGTGACAGGCACGGGGGTTCTCCCAGGGAAACAGTTTTCTTGGAAACCCCAGTTTTGTGAGGTGAGACACTGCAGAAGGAGAGGGGTGTGAAAACAGAGCTCGGGTAGTTCTGTCAATTTAATTATCAGGAAGAGATGTGATTAAATGGCTAAACCACGGGGGCTCTGAGGGAAATGATGGGGAGATGAACAGGGAAGGAGCAGCGTTATTGTTATTGCAAAGGGGGTGGAATCAATACAGTTTGGAGTTGATTACACCGGGTGAGGAATGTTACTGTTTCCCAGCGCAGGGGGCTGGTGCTGGAAAGCAGGGAATCAAAAAAAGGGAGCTCGCCTGTTAGTTCAGCTGCACTCACTGCAAATGAACAGGTGAAGCCATCCACGGAGGGAGGAACAGGGAGATGGAACAAAAGTGGGGTTCTATTTTTATTAAATGAATTACGAAGGCCGTGACTGAAATATTGCTTCATTTTTTTCTGGTGTCTGTTCAAATTGGTGCTGAAAAGGGTTTCAAAAGCATTTGACTGTCATTAGACAGAGACAGGAGAAGCATCAATGTTTGCCAGAGAGAAGGGATTCTGCTGTCAACAGAGGATAAAAAGTTTCAGTCCCAGACAGGTGAAGCATCAAAAATTGAAACTTGAATGTTATTTTGCCCAGGAATTGCTTATCAGTATTTGTGTTAATCCCCCCTCTCCTGTAGGAGAAGACAGGCCATCTTTAGCAGCTGCGTGGAGGGATGTCCTTTCCTCATGTAAGAGCTGAAATTGTGAGGATAAATGAGCTGAAAGGAAGGAGTAAATGACTGAATTAAGGACCTGAAGGAGCAGGACATCTTTCCTCTCCTTTTCCCCGTTCCTTCCCAGCAAGTGGCTCCCCACTGATTACCTGAGAGGGTTTTCCTGCTGCAGCCAGGGATGGTGGAGTCACTCCCAGTGTTCCCAGGGATGGGCAGGGGGAGCCCCATCCTCTGCCTGTGCTCCCCAACTCCCCTTTGGCTCACAGCGCCAAAACCTGCTGGAATTCCACCTGGGATGTTTGTGTACAACCCTTTTTATGCTCTTGTTTATTTTTGTGCATGCAGAAAATAATTTGTGTCTGAGTGTGTACATAGGGGTTTTTGTTGTTGTTGTTGTTGTTGTTAGGAGTATTTTTTGTGGTTGGGATGGTTTTCTGTTTTTCTTAAGTTCAGAGAAATGCCTGCTAAAAGAAAAGCAAACAGAACAAAGGGAGCCAAGTGCAGAAATTTACTATTTCTTTTAAAATTCAGGGCTAATAAACACACAGTGGGCATCTCACCTGTTGTTACTTCGTCAAAAATGTCCTTTATGAACACTGTCACATCAATATTCAGAGTAGTTGAATTAAAGAAATAAGTGTTTTGGCTCAGTGTGCAGGAGCTGTTAGTCTTTGTAACACTTAGAGGTTTTCAGACCCTGAAGTCCAGTGAAGGAAATGGTTTGTGTTTCTCAGAGATCCGTGATGTAGCTCATTTTTTTTCTCCAGGGCAGAAAATATTGTCTGCATTAAATCACTTTGTTGGGAGTGGGTTGCTGTAACTTGTTCCCTGTCTTTGCTTCCAAGAGCCACCTCTGGAAAAAGCAGAATTTCAGGATAAAACCTTCCAGAGTACAGATTTGCCATCAGCTCCTTCGAAGTTGTGTTTCAGGGAATTTTTTTTTTAATAAATAAGGGGGAGTAAAAGGTTGAGCTTGGCCTTCAGAAATAACACTGGGAGCACCTCGGAGCACTTTCTTCCTTTCCGTGTCTGGGGTTACTTGGTTGCACAGCAACACACACCTAAAGTTGCACTTTCAGATAAAATATCAGCTCCTCTGCTCATTCATTTATTATTTCCACGTTAGTTAATTGATTTAAATGTGCAGCACAGTGGGGTGGATGCTTTTCCATACTCCACACACCACGTGTATGGAAAATGGCAGTGTTGACTGTACTGATTCCCTGGGGTATGGAGAGGGAGGAAGAATCCTCTTCCCAAATAATACATCTTAGTTACACCATTACAGCTCTACTCCGTTAATGATCCTGTTTTATACCGAAATATTTCAGACCCAGCGTAGGAGTTGCTTGGTGAAGTGTCCCAGAGTTCCAAGGAATGCTGGAGCAAACTGAATTCTCCTATCATAAGAAGGATTTAATAACAAACAGAGGTTTTTACACCTCTTTATTTTCCAAAACTTTAAAAAAAATAACCTTTTTTTCCCCTTCTTTGCTCTCCTGTTGGCTCCACACAAAACGTGGGCTGTGATCCTGCAGGATATTTATTGGCTTTTCTCTGTGCCTTTTCAAATGACCCCTTTTGAGTATCGCTCCTTCTGCAGGGATGTGGTGGGGCTGGGGAGCATGAGAAAGGAATAAAGAGGTTTTTATAGCTCTTGGTGCCAAACCCAACCCTTTCAGCTGACCTTAAAGCCTGAGGGGCAGGGTGGGTGCTGCCAGTGGGTTTGCCAGGGAAGGAGAGGACAAGGTGGTGGATTCTGCTTTCCCAAACCCATTTTTAATATCTGGTTTACTGTGGCCTTTTCCTTCTTTCCTCCTTGAGTGTGGAGCTCAACCTGGAGGTGATTTTACTGCGTGCAACAGATTGACAAAACAATTCTGCTGCACGGCACAGTTAAGACATAAGAAGTGCCTTTTCAAAAGTACAATAAACAAAGAAAAGACGTTTGTTTAGGAGAAAAATAAAATACAGGAGGAGTAATAGGAGCAGGGAAATAATCCCATTGCTTTAAGGTAGCTTTTTAAAAATAGAAGTAGTAAGTTAAGGCTGAAGCTTTTCCCACTCTAAACATGTAATTGTAAGCTGATTGTGGTGAATTCCTCAACCGACAGCCCCCATCGGTGGAAGTTCGAAGGACAGAGCCTGACATCTGGAAGCCAGCAGCAGCTCAGGATTTTATTAAGCAGCACTGCCACATAAAATCCAAGCACTGCCATAAATGATTTACAAATGAAGATTGGCTGTGGGGTAACATCTCAAAGATGGAGCAAGTGAGATGGAGTTGGGAGCACCAGAGCTTTCCCGGCAGCTTTGGAGCCCGAGGGGGGCATGGTGGATATGGATGTGGGTTTCTGTGACGGCTGGAGTTGAGGATACGACTGGAATAGACAGAGAAACTGCAAAATTGCTGTTAGTGTGCCTGACTTAGGTTTGTTGGAAAGGTTACGGCCGAAAGGGGGTCGCTGTTGTGCATTACAGAGCTAACCAGGGTTTGTAGAATATGATTTTCTGTCTGTGAAGAAGGTTATGAGAGAGGGACCTTATCACACAGAGCAGAAACCTGCCCTCTTCCACAGGCTGCAGCTTGACATGGTTATTTCCAGCGTGGACAGAGGCAGCCGAGTGCGGTCGATGGCTGTGACAGTCGTGTCTGGCTGCGACTGGGTGACATTTGTCAGGGCAGGGAGGGGACACAGAGCTGACCCCCGTGGGAGCCAGCAGCCATCCCATGAGCCAGGGGCAGCATCCCGAGGGACACTGGGATCTGGCACCGCAGAAGAACGAGCGCTTTCCCCCTCTGCACACTGGTGACCTCCACGCTTCTCAGGGCACAGTCGCTGCCTTTCGGTGCTGAGCAGGAGATTGCCCAGCCGGTGGCAATGAAATGAACTCCTCTGAATTCAGAAAGCAGTGATTTAACGGCTCCTTCTCAGTCTTTGTGTCTAGAAATAACCCAGAACATCACACCGCGAAGTTCAAGGAAGTAGAAGAAGTGATATGCTAAACAAAATCCCGAGCTTTCGTTTTTTTGAACAGGTTTTTGATACAGCTCAGCTTGATACAACCTGCTATTTACCAGCCTGGCCTTTAATATTGGATCTGCTTTCCAATTATGCTTCAATTCATACACCAGTTGCAGAGGGCGTGTGTGGGCGTACGTGCGAGAGAGGGAGATTGATTTTGTTCTTTAAAAATGTGAAGTCTGCACCAACCATGAAAACCCATCAGAATTTCTAGCACTTAAATGCCATTTCCTTTCTCGGTGTGCTACCAGCACTAAGCAGTGTTCACGACAACTCCCTGGCAAGTGGAGGAATGCGTGCTGCTTTTCAGAAGGAGAATATTAATACAGATATCAGTGAAAAACCAGGCTGCAAAATCCTTTCCACAAGTAAAGGGTTAATGGGAGAGCTGAAATTACAACTTGGAAGCGAATACACAAGGTCTTAGCTGTGTTTTTCAGAAGCACACGAGTGAAAATGGAATAAAGAAAGTACATTTCGGCCCTGGCTTTTGCTGTGTGTTCGAGTCGCCCCTTGTGCCTGGACAGCAGGTCTGGGTAACCCTTCATGCCATCACTTCACACACAACATCTGGTTGTTTTTCCCAGTCCCTGCCTTCCCCTGTGTGCTGTATTCCCGAGCCTTGGCAGTGCTCTGGTAGTCACTGCAGCCCAAAGGAGCGTTGTCTTCGTCTTTCTGCAGCCCTGACCGTTCGTTTCTGTTTTCTGCAGGTTTGAAGACCTATCTGATCTCAGGTCAGAGGGTGAGGGAGCCCCACTGCAGCTGTTCACAAGCGTTGCTGCCTGGCTTGGAGTCCACAGACGGAGCCAGGACACAGGGAGCGTCCTCGGCCGAGAACCCCCGGGACTCCACCGAGGCTCTCAAACAGGTGGAGAAACCAAAGGTGAGTTCTCATCTCCAAGACCAGCAGCACAGACCTCAAACCACGCAAACCAGGGATGGGGAAACATTGCAGGCTTGTTTATGCACTGCTTTACATATGGAATTTGTGTGGGGGGAAAAGAACCTGATTTATGCAGCTACGAAAATCTGTGATTTTCTGCTTTTGCTGCTTCTGCCATTCCTCTGTCATGCAGGTTGTGTACCTGTGAGCATTTTTATGAGTATTTAACAGATAACAGGATTGTTTGTGTGGTGGGAGAAAATTCTCTGAGGGGCTGTGACATTGTTATATCTGTTTGCTCTAGAAACCTGTATCTAGAGCTGAGGGCAATGATTTGTATGGATTCAGCTCTGAGGAATGATAAGCTTTGTTACGTTCACACCTCTCCCAAGATCTCCTGACAAGCAAATCTGTGAAACAATGTGTATTGCTTCAGAGCTTTGCTGTTACTCTCCATCTTCCAGCCCAGAACAGATTTCCCAAACAACAGATGTCTATTCTCTCTTTTCATTCGTGCTAAGAGTTCCTTATCCTGGGCTGCCTGAGCTGGGCACAAATGTCAGAACCAGGGTCCCTGTCCTGAGACTTCAGTGTGGTCAGTCCTGACTGGATCCCCTCAACACAAGTTTGAGGTTGAGCTGATGGAGTTGATGTGGGGATGATTTTTGTGCTACTCCAGTTTTCCCCCTTGTTTGTTTTTTGTCTGGATTAGGGGAGCATGAGTAGGGCACCTTTCCCCTGCCTCTGCACGTGCTTTTATGTTCTGCAGTAAGGGCACTGCGTTACAAGTGAGATCAGCTGGACTGTCCAAAGGCAGGTGAGCTCCTCAGAGAGCAAGCCAGGCCTGTTGAACTGCAGGAGGCAGCTCTAGCCAACTTTATCCCTCCACAAAATATGCACTGTCTGTGGTTTGACAGCATCCAAGCTGCTGGTGATACGTTTCTATTCCTTCTCCTGGGTAAGAAAGAATCTATTTGGCACCCTGCAGGCACCAGCTTTCCATCTCCTTCTTACCTTTCAGTGAAAGCACCAGCAAATAAGGCAGGAAAATACATCTCAGAGTCGGTGGTGAGCTGTACAAATGACCCTGTGAGTGCTGCCCAGTGCCTGGCCGTGCACAAGTCCACGTGTGACAGCGAGGGCAGAAACTCCTTCATGGCAAGCAGTGAAGGAAGAACGTGCCAAGTGGAGCAGCATTGCTGAGCTGTCTCTCTGGAGCAGAAGGGAGAGAGGAGGGATGAAACAAAGCAGTGAAGCTGAGGGTGCTGTTCTGAGAGACAGTGAGGATGCCTTGGGAATGGCAGACAGCAGAGGAGGCTGTGACTGAGGACCCTGAAACTACAGTGAAGTCCAGGACTGACCCCCACCTTCAGCTGGGGTGTGATAAAGTTGTTATATACAAACTTCCAGTGGCACTGGTTAAAATGATCCAGGTCCAAAATGAAGTCTGTTGTTAAGGATCAGCTCTGTGTTTTCTAAAACGTGGGGTTTAGGGCAGGTACAGCTGCACCACCGTCCCTAAGCAGCTGATTGGTGGTGTGGAGCACGTTGCTGCCCCACTATGCTTTGTTTGCTGCCTTGTCCCTGATTCTCTGCTCTGGGGCTGTTGCATGGTGTTAATTGCTGTTTGGAGTATCCTCAGTTGGAAGGGACCCACAGGCATCGTCCAAATCCAGCTCCTGGCTCTTGGAGTGTTTAAATGCTCAGTGATGGTCTGTACAGTGCAGGAGTGCCAGCGTGACTGTCTGAGGGAGGGAAGGAGAAGCTAAAAGAAGCTGCTAAGAAGAGCTTCTCGGACAAGTGCCAGCTCAGTTTCAGCTGCCTTGGATACCCTGTTGTGCCTCAGCTACTGCAGAGAGTTTGTAGCTGCCTGGTTTTACTCATCACCCTGAGCGCTGCTCGTCTGGCCAGGGATTTCTCAAGCAGCCTCACAATTCCCTGACGCTGGAGTGAATTCTGGATGACTCCAGCCCAGGTTTCCCTGGAGTCTGATAAGCACCTGTATGGTGGATGCCATGGAGTGGTGGAGCAATCCTGTGAGTGCTGAGCACGGGCTTGAAAACGTGTTCTGAGACTGTAATGTCAGCACAGGAGTGCAGAGTGGCTTTGCCTCTCAAACATGGAACGGGTATTCCAGGCTCCACAGCACAAGGGTGGAGGTGCACCAGCCTTCTCTCTGCTGATACAGTCACAGAGTCATGGAATGGTTTGGGTTGGAAGGACCTTAAAGCTCATCTCATTCCACCTTCCACCAGCCCAGGGTGCTCCAAACCCCGTCCAGCCTGGCCTTGGACACTTCCAGGGATGGGGCAGCCACAGCTTCTCTGGGCAGCCTGTGCCAGTGTTTTACCACTCCTATTGTAAAAATCTTCTTCCCAATATCTAATCTAAATTTGCCCTCTTTCAGTTTAAATAAATATGAATATCAAAAAATGTCCACAAAGAACAACTGCAGTTTAATCACAGATCATGCCCAATATTTGAAAAGGAGTGGGTTTCTTTTTTACAGCCTTTGGGATTTTGTGTGCTGGGGTTTTTTTTTTTAAAGCCTGCAGCTCCCTGGTAGGGTCTGGAGATAATAATTTGCAAAAGAATCATGACTTATGTGCGACTGTTTTAAATACAAAGCTGTAAACAGTGTCAGTGTAGGAGGAGATGACTCCAGCTCTGCAAAAGAGACTTAAGTAGGAGGGGCAAAATTACAGGCAAGATGAAATATTTTTGCTTTAAAGGGAATAAGTGGCCATATTGGATGCCAAGGATGACTTTCACATTTGGGGCTTGAACAAATGTAAAGGAAAGTCAGGAGGGAGAACGCAGCAGTACTTGATCCATGAAAGGAATTGCGTTTCCTCCTCTGGTGTCTCTGTAGTTCATTTAACTGGAAACTGTAGTAAATGAGGGTATCAATAAAGTGAATGTATGTAATTAAATGGTGAAGACAGAGGCTAAAACTCTAAGTAATTAAGTCTATAATAGCAGCTGGTTTTTGAACGAAAACGCTGTAACCTGCTTAAGCAGGTTTGGTATCAGTTTATTTTCCCTATTATCTTTAATGAAATGCCTCACTTGACAGGCAGTCATAAGCTGTTGTAAAAATGTTTTAATCATTGCTTGGTATGAAAACAGAAAGTCCTCTTGCTTGTCTGGCTGTTTGCTGGCAGTGCATTAATGTTTTATTCATGGCAGTGAGGTCACAGCACACGGAGCCCTGTGAGTGCCTGCAATAGGGAAGGAGCTTAATGATGTTGACTTGAACACACAGGGACAGTCAGAGGGACTTCCACCTCTTCCCAAGGGTCAGGCTGCTTTTCCCAGCCCTTTGTCTCCTGGTTTAACCCTGGGAGCTGAGTGTTTGAGGTGACCTTCCTCATTTATTAGCAAGATCAAACAGGGAGTATTTTCTTTATTTATTGCTGGGGGTGTTTGGGTTTTGTTGCCATTGACTGACTTCTGCCATGGATAAATCTATTAACTGACCCTCTAGGAGTTTAGAGGGCTTGTTAGCCCGTTCCCAGTTTATTTTTCAAGCCATCTAATAATGCCTTCCACAAAGTGGTCAAGACATTCTTGGCATTTAGTCCAAGATTATTTTTAAACACAACTGTTTAAGAACCGACTTCGTAGTTTCTTCAGCTGTGCTGGTGTTTGTTCAGATTGTGCAGGTTCAGAAGTGGATGTAAGTTGCTTATCTGATGCCAGTTGGGAAACTGAGTAATTTCAGTGCTCCAGCCTGGACTGTGCCCCTGAGGAGCAGCAGATCCGATGGTCTGCTGGCTCCTGAGAAGGCTCAGGGTCCTCATGAAGGCCTTTGAGAGGCGTTGGGGAGTGGTGAGATGGGTCAGCAGTCACAGGGAGAGTGGGCTGGGAGAAAGACCTGAGAATGAAACATTCTGGGTGATTCAATTTCAGGCATGACACCAGAGATAGAAACGGGGCTTTGGATGAAGAGTCAGTTCTGAAAAGACTTAACACACTGGTGTCTGAAACCGGGAGAGAACCTGAAGGCAGACGTTGTGGGTTTGGACCAGGACTAGAGAGACTTGAATGTGCCCCTGCTGAGCCCAGAAAAAACAGCTAAAATGAACATGGGGTGAATGAACAGCAGACCTCTGGTGAGCCTGGTCACAGTGACCATCTCCAGAGCAGGGGAGTTGCCAAGAGGGCTCAAGCACAGGGTCCTGCCTTTGCACTGCCAGGACTGGAGGAAAGAGCCAAGATCTTGGAAGACACAGTTTTGGGGTTAACTGCCCTGAAGAAGATCACGTTTTAACTCGAAGGAATTAGCTTGCTTTAAAAGCTCAAGTGCAACATTTTAGGTTGCTTCCAAAATGCACAACCTGGAACCAGTGGAAATCCCGATGGGTCTGCTTTCCGTGTTCCCTGTGACACTGGCTGAGTGTTTGGCTTCAACTACATACAACAGCCTGAGTTCCACTCCCCTGCCTTAGAGCTCTGTGTGAAAAAGTGTTTCCCTTTATTAGTTTCAGATTTGTTGCTTTCCATTTCCCTGTACTGCTCATAATGCATCACTCTGTTTTGTGCTTTTTCTGGATTTTGCTGCATTTTGTGCTAACTCTTCACTCCTAATGCCATTCAGGTCCCTTTGCAGGCAGTTTTTACACGAGAAAATTGCACTCCACCTACTAAAGAGCATTTTACTCCTCTTGGGGAGGTCCTGTACAGTATGCAGCGATTACAGTCTATCTGTGATCTTGCACCAGTGAAGCTTTCCTGGGTTAGATTTAGCTCCAGTAAACAGCAAATCTGTGATTTATTTTTGAAACGGTGCATTCTGTTCCAGTCCAATTTTGCTCCCTGCTTCCCATTCTGTAGCTCTGTTTATCTTTTAACCATGCTGCAAGTATACGAGTGGACCGAATTACAAATTGCATAATACTACAAGGACACCAGAACATTCCTGGCTAAAATTTTTTTGTCTCATTGCAGCCTTGCCCTTCATGTAGTACCACCCTTGCTCCCCACTGCGATGTCAGCATAGAGGAAGGAGCTATCCAAAATGGTTGTCAGGATGAGCATAAAAACAGTACAAAGGTAATTTAAATATTTCTCCCTCCCCTTCCTTTCCCTTATTCCTCTGCTTCCCTCAGCTTTCTCATTTTTGCGCCGCTGTTCCTTTATTCGAGCCCTGGAGCAGCAGAACGGATTTTGGTTTGGGGCAGTTGTGTTCTCTAATTTAGTTCAAGTCCCCCTGCCTCAATTTTCAGAATTTTTAGTGATTTTGTGGGCTTGGATTGATATTGAGAAGGACCTAAAATTTGGACTCTTTCAGTTATGCTGAGGCTACTCAGGAGGCACAAGCAGCACTGCCAGGCTCTCCATGCCTTGCCCCAGTGGGCTGTGTCACCTCACCACGAGTGATGTGTCTTGTCAATGTGTTCTGCCATTCCTGTTCATGCACACAGCTGCAATTCACAGCTTTCAGTCAGTTTGCATCCTTTTCTGACCACAAATACGGCATCTTTTGTATTCCTCGTGCTGCTGCCACGGTTGCTTTCCTGAAGCCACTTAATTCTTCTGCCATGCCTGTTTGTCATCTTGTCCGTGGCCTTCACAGCCTCTGCTCTGACTGTCACCTCTCCTTCCTGAACATTAATCTCCTGCCTAAATGCAGACTGGGGACCAGTGCTCGTCACCTGGCTGTTATATATTCAAATAAGTTTAATGCTTTCCCTCCTCGGGGTGAATCGCTTCATGAACACACTCTGAGGCAGCAGGCTTGTTCTTCATGTCCGTCTTACAACTCTTCTCGCCTGTGAAGGTGATTGAAAACCTTGCCAGCACTTACTCCACTGCTGAGCCACTGTGTTAATCTGTGTTTGTCTCCCTGCTCTCTGTCTGTACTTGACCTGTTGTCTCATGCTTAAATTGTAAGCTCAGAAGCAAGGCCTGCCTCACTGGGCTGGAGGGGTGTGTTACCCAGCAGTTCTGTGCCAGGATTCCCAGGAAACAGCCTAAGAAAAGAGTCAAATGATAATCCCTTCAGCCCTGAGGGAGGTGGAGCAGAGTGGCCAGCACTCACTGCTCTCAAACCAGCACGAGATCTTTAAGACAAAAACCCTGGGAGATCTCCTGCAGGTAGGCAGGAGATGTTTCTTCTCCGGGCTGCCTCTGCCCACGTGCCGGGGATCTCCAGGGTCCAACTGCAGACAGAGACTGTCCTCAGGTACCGACTGCCCCGTGTCAGGCGATGTCTTCATTGGAATTATCCTTCAAGTTCCTTCCTCCTGCAGCTGTACTGGCTTCGTGTGTGTGAATCAGCCAGTCATCTGACCCTGCTTGGAGAAGGCCTGTGCAGAGCAGAGGAAAAGGGCTGTAATTTCACTGGAAGAAACACGTTAGTGGAGACCAAATCGCACGTCCTTCTTGGACTTGGTTTGGTTATTACTCAGCCAAAAATTGGAGCTGTTGCGTGGCTCTGCAGTAAGTCTGGGGTGCCTGTTAAACTGAGAGCTTAAAGAACAGCCACATGCACTAAGTGACTGTGGCATTTGATTTCCAAATCTTCCTTCAAGTTTCTGGTCTCTTGGGAAAAAGAGCCGTAAGCTCCTTCTACTCATCACTGGATCCTGTTCCCTTTCCGTACCACATGCTGCCCTCATGTCCCCTGCCTTTTGGGAATGTTACTGGTGTTTGAACACATCCTGGGACCTTTGTGGGTCCCAACAGCCTCTGGGGCTTCCCTGTCCTTTGATGAGAGGGAACTCTCACATCATGAGTTCTCAGGCGAACCCGTATGGCCTGTTGCCTTCAGAAGCCACAGTAACACTGGAGCTCACAACGTTTAATAAAGAGGGATTTTCTCCTACACAAACAGTTTCATGCTCTAATCCCTGCCTGTAAAGATTAACAGAGTGGAGACAGCACAGGGAAACCTTGAGCTGACTGAAGGAAAGAATTTTCTTGGGGATTTGAGCCTTTGCCAAGGAGCTAAAGAGAAAGTCCACGCTGACCTTCTTTGAAGGAGCAGAAATTTTCGCTGCATTTTTCCAGATGATCTTGAAGAGCAGCAGGGAGAGCAGACAGTGCACAGGAGTCCAGATCTTTTATTTGAGCTGATCATAGCAAAATGAACTGGTTGTTCTGGGAAGTGCTCTGAGCAAATACAATCCTTAGCATAAATATAAAAAAAACACCCCCACCAGAAAAGAAAACCCTTCACCAGCACCTTGTTGGTCAGTCCTCTTTGTTTTCCCTTTGTTAGTTCTCCTTTTCTCCGAACCAGGGGGTTTCTCCTGGCTCTGCAGGATGCCCTGTGCTCCACATCCACGTTCCCTCTGAGCAGGCTGGGTAGGGATGCAGGAGGACTTGCTTGGAAGCTGCTGAATGTTTTCCCTTAGAAAGAAAGAACCTTTTATGTGAGAAGTCCTCATGCCTCTGTCCCAAGCAGCACCTCCCCGTCCAAGAGGGCTCTTGGTCTGCCCCTGCTGGGATATGTGTGGCTGAAATCACCTTTCCCTCCTGCTTATTATGGTCTGTAGCAAAGCCTTGGCAGCACACCAAGGAAACCACCCAATTTCCTATTCCTTCCTCGGCTGCCGTCGCTGCGCAGTGAACACCTGCACGCTGCCAAAACAACTGTTGTGAGGGCTAGAAGGGACTAGACTGGGAATCCTTCCATCTCCTGGCTCCCAGCACGTGGCTCTCGGGCTCACACCTCGCTGGGGCAGCCCCAGGATCCCACCGTCCCCCTGGGAGGGAGGAAGGAAGGGGAAGCACAACCCACCTCGCTCCTGCTTTTCCTGTCACTCCAGGGAACTGTTCCAACACACCTTGTTATGGCTTTAGCTCTGGAGGTCTGGGCTGGGACAGGGAGCCAAGCCTGAGTGGTTCCTCCTCTTCCCTGCACGAGGTTCTCCTGCTGCTCCATTGGCCTTGCATCTCCCCTGGTTGTGCCTGCACCTTTCACTTTACCTGTCCCTGTCCAAGTGCCTCGTTTGCTTCACAGGATTGGTTACACAAGGAAACTGAATTCATTTTGCCTGGGCAACCAGAAACCAGATACTTTTTAAGTTTAACTAAGTTGATTTTACAATGTCAGTAACATATTTCAGCGTGTGGTTGGGGTGGTGATGATATTTATGGTATTTATTTATGGTCACTGCGGTGGCATCCAAGAATAGTCTTCTGGAGGAGCTTGTCAGAGCTGTACAGGCAGGAATGGAGAAACTTCTGTCATGAGTGGGCTTCAGGATGAGGATAAAATGCTACATGATAAGTGATAAGACATGGAGGGGGAGATGAACATTCAAATATGCTAAGTTTGCTCTGTGTTTGCATTTGAAAATGATCCTGACTAACTGCAGTTCATTTTCATTCCAACCACACTTAGTTATCTAATTCTTTTGGAATTGCTTCAGTGCATGTTGGTCTAGGTCAAACAAAATGTAAAAGAAGGAACTCCAGGCTCCATGCAAATAGAATGATTTTTGGTTAAAAGTAATTTGTGTTCTCGAGTGAAAGCAGAATTGGTGACGCTGTACCTAAGCCTGGTGTCAGAATTAACACTGCAGTCTTAATTAATACAAAGGCAAAAAAAAAAAAAAAAAAAAACCCAACCAAACCAGAAAGAAGAAGTATGCCTCAGTCAGTGAAGAAAATGTAGTTTAATTTGTAGGATTTTTTTTTTTTTTTTGGTAGGATGATGAGATGTACAAAAGGGCTCTTCCCACAGGTAGCAGAGAGGAGGAAGCTCTGGGAAAGCAGCAGGGCTGTAGTGGAAGGATCAGCAAGGCCTGGCAGAGTGAGTTGGCTCCTGATCTATGGAAAGTCAGCACAGCTGATGTGGGTATTTAAAAAGCTTTTTAGGGGAATCTTGACCGTAAGATAAGTGAGTGGAATTCGGGGCTGTGGTTGGTTGTCACTGCACGTGTGAAAATCCTTTTCTGCTCCTTGGAAAGTCGGTACAGAAAAAGCGAAAAGACACCTAAATAGGGATGTGCCTGCAGAACATGGAGGAGATACATCCAGAGGAGATGGGGATGGATTCAAGGCAGGTGGAGTTTGGCCTTTGACATGGTCAGGTCAGAACTCAGTGTGTTGAGGAAGAGCTGCTTTCAGCTTTTGCTCCCTGAAATCTCATCTATTTACCCTCTCAACCATTGACATTCCCTGTGTATTTTTTCCTTCCTGCCACCCAGGCTCCAGGAGGACACAGTCCCAAGACTCAGAATGGACTTCTGAGTCCTCCACAGGAGGAAAAGCTCAGCAACAGTCAGACCTCTCTGTATGAAATGCTGCAGGAGAAAGGACGGTGGGGCGGAGTGAGCCTGGATCAGTCAGCTCTCCTCCCTCTGAGGTTCAAAAACATCCGAGAAAAGACAGATGCTCACTTTGTGGATGTGATTAAAGAGGACAGGTAAGGAAAATGGAGTGTAAAAATCTTGTAGAAGTTATAAGACAGTGCCAGGGCCCCATATCTTTAGTCTTCGTTTGTGTGCTTTCTGTCTAATTACTGTTAACATGCAACACGTTACACGTTTCCTGATTTTAGTCTTTGTTCTGCCTAAACTGCGGTAGGAATTTGATATCAGAAACATTGTTTAGAAATATGTGAAGCCAGTTTTTCCATCGCTTCCATGGTGAGCAGTCCTCCTTCAGTCGAACCTTGGAAGAGGAAATTGCTCTTTAAATCACTTGTCACAAAGTTCAGCCCTATCTTGACAATCGAAAGCTGTCTAAACGCACGTAGCTCGTGCCTTCCTCTGCAATTTAAGGTGTGACATGAAATCTGAACCACAGAACTCGCGTTTTTGTATAGCAAAAGAACAACATCTGATAACATTGTGTGACTAACACCTAGGAATCATGCTGGGCTTGAAAACAGAATTAATAGGAGAGAATTCTCATGGAACTGCTACCTACTCACATATTGTAAAGGTAGTTTCTCTCTCTGTTTCAAACGAAGAAAAAAACACTTTGGGCAGAGGAAATGTTCTCCAAAATTCAGTAGTGTGGGATTTTTATAAACACAAAATGATTTATCCCCTGTTATGACAGTGACTTGACTGGAGCAACTAAACAGATAACTCGAGTTTGTTATTATCTATGGCTATTCTTATTTTTGTTTCACTGCTTCCACTCAAATCGAGAGTGTTTTGTCTAAATATCCTCGAAACTGCTGTGGGCTGCTTGGAACAGGGACACCATCACCTGAACTGGAAACAGGACTGAGGCAGGGAGAGGTGAGAGCAAAGGACAGGACTCCCTCTCCAATCTCTTATCCAGTTTTTCTCAGTTTCCCTCTCTCCTGTGGTCAAATTCAGTTCAAACTTCGATTCCTTTATTGTTCTTCTCCGTGTGTGGTCTGTCATTGGGGGCTGAGAGTTGGTGTTTAGCTGATATTTTCAAATATTAGAGGGCAGTTGGATCGGGAAAGTCCAAGTGTTGGCAGAAATCAGCAAGAACAAACAGGATTGTTGTTTAAAATGTAACCAGCACGCTGCAAACTTTAACTTATAGAAGAGGCCTAATTTATGCCGTGGGTCTGCTGAAGATACTTTGCTCAAGCTCCTGGTTTCCCAGTGCTCTCCTCCCGCACTCCCAAAATGGATAATTCTCTCTGATTCGGAAAAAAAGGAAGAAGCAGAACTGTGATTTGAGATCAGTCAAAGCCTGGCTCTTTTTTGGGCTCAATTAAATATCATCATTACCATATTAAGTGGGCCATTTCTTGTTGCCACGGAAACTTCTCTGCCGAGCTCAGTTCGTGTAAACATAACTTTCCAAAAATAATCTTCTGATTAATTAGCTCTAAGCAAAATGCTTTAGGCCTACTGGTTTACACTGATCTTTTCGACATCTCTCAATGAGAAATTATGTGGAATAAGTCCTTTTAAGAGCGTTCTTGATCCCCTACTGTAAAACATAATTGTTGGTCCTGACAAATCGAGCGTCTGTGAGGATCTTTGGACGTGGAATTGGAGGTGTCATTTCACAGGATTCCCCATTTTCAGTGGGTTTTGTTGCATTGGTTTGACGTTGCTGCAAACCCAGCAGCGGCCAAGTGACATTCCCTGAGCACTGGGCAGCAATTTCCACTGCAGGGCATTTCCAGATCATTCCTGTTGCCAGGAAGTACTTAACCCAGATATGATGCTAAGGTGCAGAAATTAATCCCACAGGCTTCCTGCAGAGCCAGGAAGGGTTACACGTGTCCTTGGGGGGATTCAGGAGCTTGGACACTGCATTAGGAAGCTGTCCTGAGGAAATGCTGGACACTGGTGATATTTTTCATTTCCAGTCTCCTTCTAGAGCTTTAGCTGTGTGGTTGGGAGTGTCTTTGCAGGCTGAGATTTAACCTTGGAGCTGATACCTCAGCACTGCCTTTAAAAATAATAATAATGAAGAGAGTCTTAGTGTGGCACGTTTGTATTAGGAATTACAGAAGAATACTTCCATGAAAAGGTATCAGTTCTTACAACTTGTGTCTACGTATTTGACAAACAGGGTATGGTTTGAGCTTTGAGCCTGGCTTTACTGCAATCACTGTAAAAATACTGTTCATTGTAATCTGCACATTACTCTATATTTTAAAAGAAAACTGTATTGTAAGAGCACAGAATGTTTGAACTTAATTTCATTGGGAACATCCTTAAAGGATTCTCATTTTGGGGATTTTTATTTCCAAGAAAAATTAAGTATTCTTTAGGTTATAAACTTCCTGAAGTACAAGAAACAAGTACTCATGAACTGATCAGGGCAGTACTTCCAATAATCTCTTTAGACTTCCAGAGCAGAGACCCAGGGATGGATGAAGCTCCCCCTGTTCAGTCAAGTGGGATTTTCCTCGTTGGGACAGACGTGGGTTGACGTGGAGCTGGATTGGCACTGGGAATGCCGCCTTCTCCCCGGTTCCATCCTGCAGCACCTTCTGTTTCGTGCTGCCCTGGAAGCTGGATTGTTCCTCTGACATCACCCAGCACAACGTCACCATCCTCTGTTGAGCTTCCCAGGAGGAAGAAAGGGAATTCAACAATCTTAAAAAAAAAAAAAAAAACACAAACAACCAAAAGCTTTTAAAATTCTTATTATAAGATGCTCTTAGATGATCTAAGAGAGGGGAGGAACGAAGACAAGGAGTAATGACAGACAGAAGGGTGACTCAAGTGAATGTGTCCTGTCATTCTTCCAGGGTATCCTGGTGTTCTCAATATATTGGCCAGGGCCAAGGTTATAAAGTATCAACCATATTCATGGTTAGAGTCTTTTGTCTTCTCTGGCATCAGTCTAAGGATTTGTGTTTGGTTGGTCTTGCATTGCAGTTTAAAGAAGTGCTTCCCACATGCCATTGTGTGCTGGGGAGCTTGTACTTCCCAAAGACCCCTCTGCCAAGAGTTCAGTAAAACTGAGCAGAAAAAAACCCATAACCAGCCTTCCCCAAAGAGAGGCTCTGTAGGATCTTTCAGCTTCTTCATCTGCTGAGGGTTTGACCTCCTGTGCATCTCTAAGTCCTTTCAGCTCTCTGACACCTGCTCAAGAAACAAAAAAAGGGGGGTTGCAGATCAAGTGCCAGGGCTGTCTTTAGGAAACTTCGCTCATAAACCTCTTACAACTCATGCAAAACTCAACTTTCTATTTTTCCTCCAGAGGATCGGAAATATAAACAATTTTTCAATGACTGAAGCCTGTTTTTTGTTGTTTATTTTGATTTTTTCCTGCATCTTACACTGGAAGAGAAGGTGAAGGAGGGCATAAGCACCCTCTGGTAGATGCTGCCTCTGGGTGCCTTAGCCCTTCTGAGCTGGTGTCATTATTTGTCACTGGCTTTGTTGATGATTCTGGTCATTTTAAATCCTCTGTTCAGCAGTAAATCTGAGCTCTCTGTCTGCTCAGGTTCCATTTCTTTGCAGCCCAGATCCTTAAGGGAGTGTTTTACCAGTCGAGTTACTGAGTTATTTTAGTGTCTGAAATAACGAGAAACTGCTGTTTTCTAAAATGGACAATGGGTTTTTTTTTTTCCCCCTAACAATTTGTCACCTTTGTCATCCTTGGCTTGCTCTGAGCAATAGAATTCCACCCAAGGCACAAATATCCCACAGCCACGTGTCTCCTGAGGTTGTGCCTCTGTAGCACCAATTAACCTTTACTGTTTGCTGGCTTATATTGCAATTATCTCTAGTCATCTGGAGTGAGAGCTGTTAAGTTTCTTGAAGGACTTGTTAGTCTCTTCCTGAAAGTAAAAAAGTTTGCTGTCTCATTTTTTTTTGCTGGAACATTTCCTTTGACTGAGTGAGTGCTGTGACTAAGGGGGTACTTTGGTGATCAAGAGCAGAGAAAAGCCAAAGGAACTTCAAAACCAAGGTCCAGCATCCCTGGAAACAGCAACCACAGAGCAGAGGGGGGTCTGGAAGAGGTACAGCTGAAAAAACTGATGTTTATGTTGTCTTTTTTTTTCTTGTTTTTTTTTTTTTTTAGCCTCATGAAAGATTATTTCTTTAAACCACCTATTAACAAGCTGAGCCTGAACTTCCTGGATCAGGATTTGGAGATGGCCTACAGGACGAGCTACCAGGAAGAGGTGTGTTTCTCCTGCCATTGCTTTCCTTCTGTGATCCATCTAAGTAACTTTCTGTCGTTTTCTGGGGTTTTTTTTTTCAAAACATCTCGTTGTGGTTGATGACAAGGGCCGTGAAATGTCAAATGTAGATTTACTGCTGGTATTGCTGCTCTGCAAACAGTCTCCTTTCACTTTATCACAGAATCACAGACTGGTCTGGGTTGGAAGGGACCTTAAAGCTCCTCTGTTTTCACCCCCTGCCATGGGTCTCTCTGGATCCTTCTCTTCTCCAGGTGAACACCCCCAGCTCCCCCAGCCTGTCTCCAGAGTCAGGGGGGTTCCAGCCCTTGGAGCATCAACATACCCCATACTCCAAATCTAGTCTTACATTTGGGCTAGAAATCCATCCTCACAGTCCACCAAGGTTCACTGATTACTTCTCACTTGCCTTTTCTCCTTGTTCAGGTTAATGTTTTAAGGCTCCACATCAGCCAGGGAACCATGTCAGTAAAGGACCCAATGCTACTTGCCTTCTCATCAGATATCCCAACTTTGAAAATGGCAGCTTGGAATTGGATTTTTTTTTTCAAGTCACAGCCCCACAGTTACCCCTGTGGAACCTAAACCTGTGCTGATCTCAAATTCCATAGGAGTGCTGCATTCAGAAACACTGGGGGATTGTAAAGAGCAGTGAGTAAATTGTGAGGAACTCAGTGCTCCAGGATTCTGCACTGAGCATAACAAGTCCTCAATTCCCTTGGGAGCTAATAATATCACAGTCTTTCCATGTCAGTGGATATCCCAGCCTGGCTGATAGGAACTGGCATTTACATAAAGTGACATTAGGTGTCAGTTAGAACCGAGGCTGCGTTTTCACCCGCAGCTGAAAAATTGCTGCCAAAAGAAGGCATTTGCTCTGCTCTGTCCTTCCTGTTCCTCCTCCTCTCTGCTCCTCCTAATGGCTCTGGTGCTTACCAGCCTTCCCCCCTGCCGTGAGCAGTTCATTTACTGGCCCACCATAAAATATTCATGGTTTGTTTTTCTGTCTGGGGCTCTTTCTTTTCCCATCCCTCTGTTCTCTGCTGTGTGGAACCTGCAGCTCTCAGGGGGGGTCTGCAGATGCCAGAGCCAGCCCAAGGTAAGGGTCTGGCAGCAGGAAGGGAAATGGGCCCTTCCCTTCCAGCAGTGCAGAGCTGTTAGTGTGGTTGATCCCAGAACTGCACTGGGATAAATGTAGGTGTTGGTTTCCTTTCTTCCCAGTGGTATGTCCTACATCTGAGGGCAGGTGGGATTTCTGCTTCTGCTGCTCGTTGCTTTCAGTTCTGGGCAGGGTTGTCGTGTTCTCCCTGCCAATAGCCCCTATTTGCTTATTTTGCAATACTTCCAGGTGAGACCTAACTTAATTTGTTTTGCCAGAGGAAAGCCCAGCTGTGTTGCAGTTCAGTCTGTTCACTTTGTTCACTCATCCTGCAGCACAACAGTCTAATGGCATCTGCACAAAGCTCCTGTAGCAACAACAGGGAGAAACTTCCCATGGCATACTGGTTTATTGGCAAAAACTATACAGGAAATAGTAAATCAAGTTGTTTCCAATGGAAAGGTTGGAAAGGGAAGTGAAGTAGTAATAATCAAACATATACAGATTGACCTGTTAATGGGGATATGTAGGGAATTCCTAGAAGGAGCACCGATGAGGTCTGTGCATTTTGTTAGTAGTAAGCCATTAATTTGAAAATGGTTATATAAATCTCCCTGGAAATAGGAATCTTCACTCTCTAATAGTAACTCTGCAGCACTGGGGCAAAAACCTTTTAAAGCCTTAATATTAGCAGAGTACTGGTCCGAAACAGCAACAAAATCTTCTCTTGGAGAGTGAAAAGAGTTGTCAGCACTCCTAGTTCTCTAATTGCCTGGCAGTCAACTGCTGCTGAAAGTAACTTCCAGCACCCCTGAATTCACCTCTAATTACACAGTGCCAGCTGCATGCTCGGGTTGTGATCCCTCTCCCGAGTCAGCTCTGCTTCCCAAGAGCTTGCTTAGCCTGTTCTTGTTGGGAAATGAAGGCACTCCTTAGCACTGTCAGAGCATCTTTAACACCATCACCTGGGGATACGGTGCTGCTTCCCTTAATTCAATGGGTGGGACTCGGTGTGAGAACAGGATTCTGCTGCTGTTCAGGTTAAAAGGTAATCTTGGCAAGTGATGCTGGCTGAATTTTTTGGGTGGCAGAGAGGTACAAATGAGGGACAAGTTGGTTTCCCAATATTGCCAAGTACAGGAAGTGTTCCGAGGAGCAAAGGAAACTTCCAGATGAAACCAGAACCCTCCAACTGGGTGCCCTCCTGTTGACATGGATAACATAATTTCTGTTTGTCTTTGGAACTTGCTTTCTGTGGTCGCTGGGGCAGATACAGACAGTCCTAAAACTGAGCTCGTCCGAGTGAGCTGGGATGTGGAGCTCATGGTCTGGTTTTCAGCTGGGCTGTCCACAGTAGCACCAGCACAGCTGCACAAGCACTGGGCCAGGACACGATGGAGTGAGAATGTGTGGTGAGAGGTTATGGAAGAGCAGGACTTGGTGTCCTGAGCTCTGATCAATTCGGATTACACACGGTCCCAGTGGCTGCTTTTAATGGTCTGGAGGGGAGATGTGAACCCTGCCACAGGAGCTGTTACTGTGGGGAGGTGTTTGGAGGGTTTTCTTAAAGACCCATCAAGGCTAAAAAGTAAAATCTGCTATTATTTGTAATTGAAATCATTGAAGAAAATGTCTCACAGCTTTATCTGCTAGTAATTATATTCATGTTTCTTTGCACAGAATAGTCAATTTTTGTGTTATTTTATTTCTGTATCATGATAGTGTGTAAAAAATCACCTCAAGCCTGGGGGCTGTGCTGCCAATGCTTTTTTTCAACACAGTCTTCTCAGGGAACTGTGACAGCCACGGCACCACCTCTTCTGCCTCTTGTGTCCAAACACTCCTTACACTGGATTAATGAAGTGGCCAAAACTTCTTTATTTATTATTGTTGTTTGGAGCTGCTGTTTATCACCCCACAGGTTAAAAACAACGCTCCGGTGAAGACGTTCGCCAGCGCTACCTTCAGCTCTCTCCTGGACGTGTTCCTGTCCACCACCGTCTTCCTCATCCTCTCCATCACGTGTTTCCTGAGGCACGGCATGGTGGCGTCCCCTCCGCCCCCCGCGGCCGTCGCCGTGTTCGTGGTGGCCATCCTGCTGGAAGTGCTGTCCCTCGTCGTCTCAGTCAGGTAAACGGGGAGTAGCAGGGGGAGCTGAGGTGGTGCCTGGCTCGGGAACGTTTTGCTCCTCCCACTGTTCCTTGGGATGAGCCTCCCCTCGCAGGGCTACCAGAATCCAAACAGAAAATTTTTATCTGTCCTTCAAACAAACCCACCCCCCCCCAAAAAAAATTCCTAGGTGAAGGTACACAGCTCTGGGGTTAAAACTGAAATCGTGGATCAGAGGTGCAAAGAGCGGTCCTTCTCTCAGAGGAAAAAAAGAAGAAAAATTACTAAAGTCACGTTACATCTGTCCAGAAATAGTTTCTTTTTAAAGTTTCGTGGATTAATGTTGTAAAGAGCTTGTGTTTTCTGTTTGACAACATAATTGGAGGTCAGCATTTCCCTGGATTCAGGGCTGTGGGATAGGCACTGCTGCTGAAGGGAAAGGGGCACTGGTTTGTCTCTGCAGAAGGAGTGGTACTTTGCAGTGCCAGCCCCACACAGCAGCAAAGAATCCTCAGTCCCTGAATCCTTGTCCTGCCCCTCAACCTCTCCTGTGCCCTTGGAGGGGAAGGCTCGGCTGTTGGACAGTGACTCCCCATTCCCCAGTTGTACCCACTCACCCACAGTGTGTCCAGGGCTCCGAGGACACCTACAGGCCTTGCTGCTGAGGTAACAATCAGCGAGCAGCTCCTCTGTAACGTGGGGTCACTCACACAGCCCGGTGTGGCAACCAGCAGCTGTACACGTGGAGCTCGTGCTCTCCTGGGTGTGTTGTCTGATCTGTGCAGATACCCCGTGCAACCTGTAATTAACCCAGCTGATGGACCTATTAATAAGTTGTTTGTTTGTGTGTACGTGTGAGGGCAAGTTCACTGGGCCCTCCTCATCCCCGTTTTCCCGGCGCTTCCCTTGACACGGGAGCGTGATAAGGGTGGTGTGTGGGAACCTCTGTCCTCCCTTGCAGTTCTGCAAACCTGTCAGGAATGTGTAAGTCAAAATGCTTCTGTGATTCCAAGTGGGAAGCAATTCTGCTGCTGTTTCAAGAGAAACAAGAGGTTACAGTGTGCACTCTTGCTTTGGCTTTACAAGGTCAAGGCACAAAACACTGGATTAGTGCTTTAGTCACTGAAGGAAGTTTGTATCTCAATGAGCATATAAATGTATGTGTGATTACATCAAAGCTGGCACATAGAGTGGAGAGAGGTCAGGTGTGAACAGTGGAAATGCTTTTGAAGATGATATTTCTTAGTAGGGGTATTTGATTGTTGCAGTTCAAAGCATTTTTAGAAAACCTAGAAATCCAGAAGGTGTTAAGGGCTGTACTGGGAGATGGTTGAACTGGAGGGCTGTCATTGTAGTGTATCCTAAACTAGATTAACTCGTGTTCTGTCCTCTCTTGCATCAGAAATGCATTTTCCCCTTCGCAGAAGTCTCTGCACGCTGGTTTGGGTGAGGGAGAAGTTGTTTTGGCACTTCAGTGTGCCCAGGCAGCTCTTCCATCTCACCAGCAGCAGGTGGGCTCGGTTTGGTGGCCGTGAACTTGTTCAGCTGTGAACAGCTCAACACCCACTTTGCTGAACAGCCACTTTCTACCATCCAGATTATTTGGAGAAAATTTGTGTTCACTCACTTTTCAGGTGAATTCTTGCTTCATTTTAGTATTTTTCAATTCACTGTTTTTCCCACTTGTTTTCCCAACGCTACACTGCATTTGCCTTCCCTTGTTTTGTCCATTTATAAAAATTATTGCTATAATCTTAGAAATATTTATAGGTAAGTACATAAGGTTTTATTGCAGTCCTGTTCTATAATTGCTGGTTTCTGGTTTTCTTAAGGAGAAGGAAAATTGTTGTTTTCGGTCTGTCTATATAGTCAAGAACTGGCAAAGTAGTTTTGCCTTCCTGAGCCACGAGTGGCTGTGCAGGGGTTTGGCTTCAGTGCAACACTGTGTGGTCAACCCAGGGACCCCACAAATTCTCCTGGTTACTTTGGGAACCAGGAATTCCTGGATGGAATAAGCGACAGCTGCCCCTCCCTGCCCTCTCTGTCCAATGAGGAGCAGGGATGCGGAAATTGAGGCCCCAGGTGGGGCCTTTCTTGCAGGTTTTCAGTTTTAGGTGTAATGACAGTGGTGTATTTGGGTGGAGCTTTGGTAAGAAAAGGTGTCTAGTTGGGTTTGGAGGGGGGGTTTGTTGTTGTTTAGAATTTATAATATGCATTTGTTTTATAGTAAATACACAAAATAGGCTTTTGGGCCACCCCAGTCTCCTGGGGCACACACTGCTGTCCGGTTCCCTTGAGCAGAAAGAAGAAAATCCTATTCTTCGTCTTCAAATCCTCTCCCAAGTGAGGACTGCTCCCTCTGACCACTCATTATGCAGTGCAGAACTTCCTGTGCAGAAATGTCATCCCAAATGACAATCACAGAATACCAGCGAGATATCTGCAGGGAGGAGATCGGACTACAATGCTGGGCACAATCCCAGAATTTCAGGAAAAGGGATTATTTTAAGACCAGAAAATTCTTGCCTAAGTTTCACATTGTATTTTCATTATCGTGATGTGAAACACCCTGTCTTTAAATCAGTCTAAATTGTAATTAAATCCAGCACTCAGCCTAGCAAGGATCACTTGGCTCCTGTGGCTCAGCCCTGGGTCCAGCCGAGGGAGGGGGAATGAGCGCATTTTCTCTGCCAGGGCAAGGAGAAACAACTTAAAACTTGAGTTCTGGAGGAGCAGAAGGCCTCGTGGAGCAAAGCTTACGAGGGAAAAGGATGTTTTGATTCCTCTGAAGTGTCTAATAATAAATTATTGGAGTACCTGTAGATGAGGATCCCACTGTTAACACAAGAGCCACTCGAAAATTAATTGTATAAAGCTGCACGCAAGAATTGGTGCTTCATTTGTGAGCACATGGAGAATGTCATCTCCTGCTCTGTAAATGTTCTGTAAAGAGTGTCCTTCTGCCCACTTGAAATGTAACTACTTTGACAAGTTCAGTTGAAGTGTAAGAGGCCCTGAAATTCTGTTTTTTTATTAAAAAAAAAGCTTGGGAAATGTCACTGAACACACAACAAGTGCAAGGTTTCACTTGGGAGTCTGAGGAGTGTGTCTGCAGGAATGCAGGTAAAAGACAGCTGCCCACTATTTTTGTGTAAATACAGGATTTTTGCTAACTAGATAATTTTGGCACCTAGTTCTTGAGTAAAACTGGCCATAAGTGAGTTTGTTTACAAAAACCACGTTGTTTTTGGTAATGTGCTTCAGAGGAGACTTGGGGGTGAAGAGTTGAGGGCAGAGTAGTGGGTGTTTCAGCCCTGTTCAAAGGAGTGAGGGGTGGGAGCACTTCAAGTTGATCCCTGAATTCAAAAGGACCTTTCTAGACAGCAGAACCAATTATCTCCTGGATGAAGAAAGCGAGTGCAATCAGACACTGGAAGGGGAAGTTGTGCTGTTGTCTGACTAAGCAGAACTGCCCTTTTCCTGGCGCTTCACCTTCCCAGCCTTGCTGAAGTGCCACCCACGATCTGTTCACAGCCGAGAGACCCTGTGGCCAAGCACTTGGATCTCCCTAAATTCCCAGTGACCAGGAGCAGAAATTGTTTCCTGCATCCCGAGCTTAACGAACCGGATCTGTTAACACGACTGATACACAGTACTGATGCCGGGGAAAACAATGGAGTCTGTTTGCCTTTATTTATTTCTAACATCTGGTATTTAATATCCCACCAAATTACTGCTGTGCCAAAAGCTTTTGATTTGAACTCTGGGAATTGATTTTAAACTGCCAGTAAATACAGAAATGATGGTAACAGTGTCCATTAGCCATTAATCATTGATGTCAAAGTTACTAATTTGAACTCCAGCTTGTGTAAACATCTCGGAAGCTTCAGCATTTAAGCCCCGTTGAGCTGCCCACTGACACTGCATTATTTACTGATACTGCCCTGTAGCCATTAAATCTGTCTGCAGCTCTCGCTGCTGTCTGGATTTAATGCGCTCCTGACTTCCTGCGCTGGGAGCGTTGGGCTGTATCCACCGGCTTTCCCTGCTGAGGAGGGGAATTCAGTCCTTTAATTCCAGACATAAATACCAGCCTGAAAAAAACCAATGCAAGAAGGTAAAGATTATCAGGAGAAATGTGACATTGCCCTGGCATTTGCACTATCCCTTTGGAAACACGCACAGCTGCCTAAATAAAGCAGCGGCCTCATTGCGGGATTAACCGATCGCGTTCGCTGATGGATTTGTTGCTATAGTTCCCACAGGAATTTGTCCTGGCATGGAGGCTTGGCAAAAAGGAGAATTGAAGAAGTGGAGTCCCTGGTGTGTGGGTTGGGGTGAGAGACATGAGCTGCACTGGGTATGTGCCACCGAGCTGGGTGCTGTGCCAGCCAGGATGGGAGCGATGCGGAGATCCAGGGGAGCGTGGGCAGAGGTGCTGCCGAGCTGCCTTTGGAGAGACTGGGGATGCAGGGAGTCCCATTCCCTTTCCTCTCTCCCAGTCCAGCCATGGAGATCCTAATCCCAGTCCCACAGGCTTTGGGAGAACGGAACTTTGTTCTTCGAGGCAGGAACTTCTATTTCAGTCGTTCTTGGTGCTGAGCAACCAGGGCTGCCCTTGGGCACAGGGGCAGTTCTGTCATCAGGGTAGGACCCTGTATAACCCTTCAGAAACCCCAATTCTTACTCTACAGAGTATTGGGGTTTTTTTTAAATTTCATCTTGCTCTCTATCCAGATTTAAAATTTCAGTGCTGTCTTGGAAGCTCTGTTTCCTGATGGAATACAGGTTTAATTTCTGGTGTGAATGGAAGTCCATTAAACTGAAAACTGGCAAATCTGTGAGCACCCTCTCGTGGGATCCCAGTGTATTACAGTGTATTCCATCCTCCCAGATTTCTCTTTTTCTATGCATTTAAGGATAATTTCCAGACTTATTTATTAAAGTTAAATAAGTGAAATTAGAGAAGAGCTCTTGATGCTTCAAAAAATGCTTGTGGTGGCAAAACTCACAGAAGTCCAGACCACAGAATTAGAATATCATTCATAAACAATGAATATTTAAAGGTGTGGAATGAGTGTCAAATTCTCATTTCAGGTGGTTTGTATCAGTCTTTTATCCAGCATAAACCCTTGTATTTCAGACAGCAGGGTTAAGAATAAATGTGTTGCTTTTCTCTTTTTAGAAATATGGTGATATGGGGTAATTTATGTAACTTTGAAGACTGGGAATTTCATATTTAGTGTATGTATACTTTTTTTTTCCAGCTGTGAGCATCTCTGTTTAAAAAAGGTGTAATTCTGTACTATTTGGGCTCTGCTGTTGTCCAGAAGTGCCTGCCTGGACTGAGTCTGGTAATTCCACACATCCCATTAATGGCTCTGGATGCAGCTAACTGTGCTCCACTACCTTTTTACATCTCCGTAAAAATAATTAGGCACTTGAACAGCAGTTGCAATTTTTCTCAAGTGACTGATGTTGAGCTTTGAGAAGGAAGTTATCCCAAGGATTTATTTCTGTGGATAAATAATAGTTTTCCGCGCGATGCCCTTGAGCTTTGAGCATCCTTTTACCTTGCCTTATTCATTTGAAGCAATTAGAGCTGCTCTCATTAAGGAGCATCTCCGGTGAGCTGCCTCTCTCCAGAGCTCTTCCAGTTGGCTCCCTCAGCTCTTCACAGGTTCAGGCCGTGGTTTTATCGGCAGCTCGAGCCGTTCCTGCCCCGTGTGCCGTGTGGGATCCGTTTGGGATGCTGTGCTGGCTCCCAAGGAGCGGGGCGGGTGCCAGCTGGCCCACGAGGGGCTCAGCCCAACTGCTTCTCCAGCTCCGCTCCTGCCAGGCTGCCAGGGCTCAGCCCACGCTCCTCTTCCCCTTCCCTAATGAGAGGGAACAGAACCTGCTTGCAGACGGGGCGGTTGCGACTGGGAGAACTGGTTTGGGTGGCAGCGGGATGGAGCTGCACAGCCCTGGGTGCTGGAGCTGTTAGTGGGGTGCACGACGTTGCTCTTCAAACGTTTCTGCTTTTATTTTCAGTCATTTTAATTCGTAAAAGCTTCCCCTCTCCCTGCCTGATTTATTTATGAGTGGAGAGAAGTCCTCCTTGTGCTTAACCGTCCAAATAAGCAAAATTTGGCTTTCAGTTTGCCTCCTCAAAGCCCCCATCCCCAGGCTCTCCCTGCTCTCCCTGACAGGCTCACCCTGTCATCTGTCAGCAAAGGTGGATTATTCCCTGGAATCACAGGCAGGTGCTGTGGATGTAACACCCCGTGGCTGCTCCCACAGCCCGAGTGAGGGATCTGAAGTTCAGTTCTTGCAGGTGAATTAGAGAATCACCGTGGGGTGATGCGCTGCCATTAACGCCCCGTCCCTGCTTTGCTGTGTTCCAGGATGGCGTTCTTCCTGGAGGAGGTGATGACTTGCACCAAGCGTCTCCTGGAGGTGATATCTGGCTGGCTGCCTCGGCATTTCTTCGGTGCCATCCTGGTTTCTCTCCCAGCTCTTGCAGTTTTCTCGCACTTCACCTCTGATTTTGAAACAAATATACATGTAAGTTGTCGAACTCCATTCCACGATGTGATGTTTTGGATGGAACAAAGCTTGCTGTTTGCCTGCCGCCTTCCTCCACCTCCCTGTGCTTTACATCTGTTTGATACGGATCCCTTGGAGGGAGAGGGCTTTGTGGATGATGGAATTCCTGGTTTGTTATGTAAATACAGCCACGGCTGCTTTGAAAACTCTCAGACAAAAGAGGAGAGCCAAACCTAGAAATGCCTGTTACTCACCTTCCTTTTTTTTCTTAGACCAAGCACTTGTGCGGGGTTTTATTCGAGACAGTGCAAGGAGTTTATCTCAGGCTTGTGAATCGAGGCTGGATTTGGAGTTTCTGGGTGGACATGTTGTGTAGTGACTGGATCTCAGCAATGAAACAGCATTAGTGGTGGGTGTTTTGGCTTTGCCGAGTGAGATGGAGGAACTCAAAGGAGAGAGAGAGCTCTGAGTACCTAGAAATGATCATTGCAGGAGCTGTGGAAATGGTTCAAGGAATGCAATAACTGCCTCCTGAAGAGGAACAGAAAGAAGTTGGCGTATTTAGCCCAGACACAGAGATCCACAGGGGATTTGATGTCTCTGACAATGAAAGCACTCAGAAGGGGAGGACAAGGGGTTAAATATTCAAAGAATTTCACCGAAATTCTGTAAATTCTGTGAATTCATAGAATGCCAAAATGGTTGGGGTTGGAAGGGACCTTAAAGGTCATCTCTTTCCAACCCCCTGCCACGGGCAGTGATGAGAAGGGGGAAGAACAGTTTAATATAAAGGCCAACTGTAGCATAAAATCAGGGCTTAAAAACTGTGAATAAAATGGCCTCAAAGTGGAGATGAAAGTTTGTTTCTCTGAAAGTTTCTTTCAGTGACCACAACTCCTTTCCAGGAGCTTCAGGGAATTGTTTCACAAAGCATTTGCTATTTCTGGGTGTAGGTAATGGCCAGATCCTCCTCACTCTTCCTATCCCAGCTTATTCCTGGCTCTTGGGAAGTGTTTATTCCATGGGAACATGTGACCACACGTTTTTTTTGGTCCTTGCTGATTTAAACACATATCCCGTGCTTATCACAGTCACAGGAGAGTGTGTTTGACCTTCTGTTACATCCCATGTTTAAAACCATTCTGCAGCTTCCACCATTTGGAGCTTCAGGGAAGCATTTTTAGGAGGTTCATTTATTTTTTGTTAGTTCAGTTTAATGTTGGTCTCACTCCTGCAGGATTATCAGTAAATTAATCGTAGGAATGTCTTCTCTAAAGCGAAGGGACCTAAAAACCTTCAGATCTGTCCATTGGTTTTGATATCATCCCATTCATCACCATCCTTGATCATCTCTCCAAACGTTTAAAAACAATAAAAAAAGCGTTAAAAACCTTTATTGGTGTGTTCAGGACAGGCTGAGCCGAAACACTTCAGGCAGCAGCAGCAGCAGCAGTGAAATGGTGAATTACATCACCAAACTGAGAATGAACTTTGCTTTCTTTCCTCTTGCAGGTCCTCCAGAGTCGTGGGGCTGTTGGCTCCCTCTCCAAGAGATGTCCCAACTCGGCTTGTGCTCAGTGTTTCCACACTCATGGAGCTCTAGGAAATGGAGTCAATCTATAGAGGGTCAGGTAAGTGTCCTGTTTTACTATGACATGGTTTTGCGAAGTTTTTTTTTTACTCATAGCATTTTATACCCTCCCTGGATATAAAATAATTAAAACAAAAAATTAACAAAAACAGCCATGAAAAAAAAAAAAAAAACAAAAACAAAACAAACTAAGAAAAAAAAAAACTTTCCAAAGCCATGCATCCATAGTAAAATCCAGCACATCCTGACCCTCTATAGGCTGGCTTCATGCTGGGGCATCACTTGGAGTGAGAACCAGTGCTCTGCCACTTTAGGAGACCTGAAATGGGGGGAAAAAAGTAAGTTTAAGTTATGGGTTTTTTTATGGACACTTCTGAAACTCCTTTTATCTGTTTTTGAGTCATTTCAAAAAAAAAAAAAAAAAAGCAACTGTGCTTGTGGTTTAAAAATGGTAAATTATGTAAGGTTTTTTTTCCCATCCTCTGTGTCTGCTCTGAATCACATGTTTGTTTGTTATGCTACAGGATTGCAGTGTCTGTGCTTCAGCTGTACAGGAAATGTAAAATGAGAAATAAAAAGAGATTATTAGTGAAGAGATTGTTATTAAAAATAAAAGGAAGGGAGAGAATGATCATTTCATGCTGTAAAACACAGCATAAAGCTAGAACAGAACTCCCTAATGCAAGTGTGGAGTCTCTGTTTTAGCTCGGATGGTCGTGAATATTCTTGCTAAAACCAAAATTGGCACAAAATTTGACCACTGCAGGATTGTGTCTCGGGGAAATGAAGGTATTCTGGGCAACGTGTCTGTCCTGTGCTTCCTTTTCGTTATCCAGTGAAGCTGTGGGAAAGGGAAAGGGGGTTTGAGATTGGTGTGATGATTGTGTCACCAAGTGTCCATCGACAGTGACCAAGGCAGATCTTTTCTTTTCAACCTGAGTTCCCCTGCTGCTGATCAGTGTGACAGTGTCCTCTAAAAAAGTGGTTTTAAAAGCAGGCAGGTGGGTGAAGTTGCATTCCACATTTGCAGTGCCGTGGAATTTTGATGTTCAGTTTGAAACAGATGGGATCTAACCCCAGCAGTGGAGTGGAGGTTGCCATGAACATTGACCTTTTTTTTTTTATATTTTAATTTTTGTTTTATTTTAATAAGAAGAGGCACTGAGCTTTTTGCAAAGGTAAGCTGGAGGCACCGGGAGCCGCTGAGATAATTGTGCAACGCAGCGATACCAAACTCCACCCAGGCAAAATCGCGCCCAACTACCTGTGCTAAAGGTTTTTCTTGCCCTTGGAAGGGAAGATGCCCATCTTCACGTGCTGACTCCCGCTGCACCGTGCCCGTAGCGCAGATGGAACCAGACCCTTCTGCTCCCTGTGCCCCGTTCTGCCCGGCGCTGGTGCCCCGGGGCGCTGGGCGGGCGCTGACTGGCTCTCTCTCTCTGTTGCAGTACACCATGTTCATGTGTTGTGCCATTCTCATCACCATTGTGCAGTACTGTAACTTCTGCCAGCTCAGCTCCTGGATGAGGTCCCTGCTGGCAACCGTGGTGGGAGCGGTGCTGCTCATCCTGCTCTACGTGTCCCTGTGCCCGGACAGGTGAGTGTCCCCCCCTGCGCTCCAGGGGAATGGACTGGGGGTTCTGCACCGCTGCAGGGAGGATCTAATGCACAGGATTTTACCACCTGCCGTGACTTTCTCCGCCACCTCAACGTCAGTTGGGTTTTTTTTCTGCGTTGTTTGTTGGTTTTAAGGTTTTCAGGATGGTTCCTGGGGGCCCTCCCCTGTGTGACACCGTCCCCACCTCCCCTGCTTCAGGGGCACACGTGTTAGCAGGCCCCTAGAATTGCCTTTTAGCATTTGTGGGAAAAGCTGTTTTGTTAAGGAATTTCCCAGGTATTTGGTGGTGCCAGAGAGCCCAGATGTTCCCCCACAGCTCCCTGGATTTATTTTTGCCCTTAGGATCCCTGGGTTTTCTTCCACCACCTTCCTCAACGCACCGGTTTCCTTCCTCGCTTTCCTGCCTGTTCAGAGGGTGCTGAAGGATAGTAACCAGAAGAATCAAGATAATGCAGTTTCTGTGCAATAGCCTGAAGTTATTTCAGTTTTCCTCTGATAAGCAGTTTTCCCCAAGGAGAAATTGTTAGTATTATTCTCCTGTTTTCTTGCCAAGAGAGACAAGGGGGTCTTTCCAGCCTTCTACTCCTACTGGCAAAATTTTATAATCTACTTGCACTTCTCATTGGCTCAAGACCTCTCACAGCCTTTGGTTCTCCTGGGATGGACTCTGCAAGGTCTTCTGCTAGATCAGCCTAGTTCCTCTCCTTCTTCGGAGACCTTCATGTTTTTTTTGTGTTGAAAAACATGAAAAAACCCCCGAACAAACCAGAAAGAGTTGGCAGATACATGTTTTATGTGAGTATTTAGCTTTAATCCCCTCTTGAAGTATCTTCAGTAGTCTCTTTTAATCTTGATTTAATTTATATTAAAAAAAGAGGGAGCATAAAAGTCACCCCTCACAGCTGTTCACATCTGTGATTTGGAGGTGGCTGGAAGGGCTGTGGGAAGAAAGTCGAAAAAATTAACTTAGAGCTGGAGTCAGTTGACAAAGTATTTCCAGATCATGCTGGACTAAAGAAAAATCCCTTTTCTGTCAGTCTGCAGAGCACTCAGACAAGGAGGGCAGGACAGTCCTTTCCAGCCTCAGTGGAGGGAAGGAGTGTCTGGGTCCTGGAGACTCCCCTTCCTCCTCATGGATTTGTCCCCCTGGGTTTTGGTTCCCAGCGTAGCCAACACTGTCTGTCCTCCAGCACTGAGTGACCTTCTCCTGGGAGCAAAGATGACTTTCTCCCCTCACTTTTCCCCTTGTAGCACTGATGCTTTCACTGGCCAGCCACCAGCTTTGCTGAGAGCTCTGGAATCACAGAATCCTTTAGGTTGGAAAAGCCCTCTTGAGCTCATGGAGTCTGACTGTGCCACCAAGGCCACCACTAACCATGTCCCCAAGTGTCACATCCAAAGGGCTTTTAAATCCCTCCAGGGATGGGGACTCCACCTCTGCTCTGAGCAGCTGTGCCAGGGCCTGACCACCCCTTCCATGAGGAAATGTTCCCAATATCCAACCTCAGCCTCCCCTGGCACAACCTGAGGCTGTTCCCTCTTGTCCTGTCCCTTGTTCCCTGGGAGCAGAGCCTGACCCCCTCAGCCCCAGGTTTGGTTTTTCAGGGAAGTCAGTGAAGAGCAAACCCTTGATGCCAGTCCTTGACTCCCTGGTTACTCTTCCATAATTCCCCCAGGCAGGAGTCCTTGCTGCTCCTTCAGCTCCCCCCGTGCTGGGGGGTCTGCACAGAGCTGCTGTCACACAGCTGGGTCAGAGGGCAGTAGAACAGACTTGTGCACAGGCTCTGTGTTAGGACTTTGTGCAAAAGAAACGCAAAGCTGGGGATTTTCATGCTTTTCAACTTTACTGAGGGATGGGGAAAGGCTGTTCCAAAGCACAGAAGTGGGGACCTTGCTGTGGTGTCAGTTCACAGCATCAGCTTTGGCTGAGTGTGGAGGGGTTCTATGAATGGTAAAAAACCATTGTCTTAAGAAATGTTGCTAATGATAGTGTTCTCCCACCTGTGATTTGAAGAGTGGTGACCATTCATGAGGAAAGATCAGAAATCATGGAATATGTTGCCATTTCATCCCTCAGAAATAAATGTTTAGAGTAGTACAGCTCAGTTCAACTGCAGATCTGAAGAGGTGCTTGATAGAATTTATCCTGAACAAAACTAATTAAAACAGGCTGAATTAGTGAAACCCATAAATTCTGCTTCTTAATATTCATCTTCTTGTTCCCCTCTTACCGTGAATCTGGATAATATTTTTTGTCACAGTGGTTATTGCAGCTTTGTCTGCGTCACAGGTGGATCCATTCTGCAGGTTTCTTTACGTCTTTTTACAGATGAAACTAACCCTGAGAATTTGATTCTCTCTTAAAAGCACTTGAACTGCTTATTTTCTGTAATGGCATCTTCAAAAAACCCTGTGTTCATTAGGGATTTGTTTGTTTGGAGCAGTTGGGGTTTGGGTTTTTGTGCTTTATTTTTAAAATCTTTGTACTGTGTGCTCAGATAAGATGAAGGCATAACCAAGTTTTAGAGTTCCCTGTTTCCCAGGTGAGATGGGATTGTTTAACAACTGCTCGTTCCAGGAATCATCAGTTTCCCTTTGCAGGGATTTGCATCTCTGGCTGGTTCCTTCTTTCGAGCCAAAAGAGCAGATAAGTCGTGTTCAAACAGAGATTTTTGAAGCTGATGAGGTGTGTGATGCAGTTATTGGTCTGTATAACAGGGAAGTTTAACATTCTCTCTGAAATTCTGCAGGATGGTTTGTTTATTGCTTTAACCTCCCCTCTGAAATCGGTGCTTTTTTTAATTTCAGCTCCATGGAAACTCCTCATCTAGAATTGGCACAGAACTTTAGGTAAGCTTTATATAAACTTACTATCTTTATGTTTAGGGATGGAAACATTTTCAGTGAATTATACGTAGCGAGATTTTGCATCCACGGTAATAACTTGGGAGTTCAACAAATTGGTTCAGCAGGTTGTGTTTAAGCTCTTCATGTGTGTAATTTCCTTTACAGGGGGCTTGGGCACGACCAAAACTCATCAGAGCTGATGCTGCTGTCAGAGTGGTGTAATGATATTTTCTCTTTAAATTGGATTTCTAGGCAATAGAACTATGGAGGAGCTCTGTAAAACAGCATCTGTTTTTCTAGTAGCAGCAGTTTTTAGGGCGTTATCTGCACATCACAAGCTGTTTGTTTGGTCCCCTTGGCTGGTTTGCACCGTTCAGGAGCAGTGTGAGTTGAATGCTCCCACAGCTGGAGGGGGGAGAATTCCCTGTGGGAGAGGAGCTTCTGCTGGGAAAGCTGGATGTGCAGCCAGGTGCCTTCCTGAGGTGAGATGTGACAGTCTGGGACTGGCTGTCACTTCAGCTCACCTGGGCAGAACAGCAGAAGAAAACTGAGAGCAAAGGAAATTTTAGCCCCCAGACTTGTCAAACAATCAAACAAAAAGCTCTTGCTGGGTTATTGATGGCCCCCTAAACGAACAGGTTAGAGATTCCCTCTGATCATTTCAGTGTTGAATTTCTCATGGGTTTTATTGCCAGTTTTGCAATACCATTTTTAAAGTGTTTTTCCTTGTGTTTGGTGTTAGACAAGTACATGTTTGCTGATTACAAGTTTGGGGCCAATCCTGAGGTCACACTGCGCTTGACTGGACTATTAACCCTGAGCACATGTGGCTCAGCAATTCACCCAAACTGGGCTTTCAGGAGCACGATGCTTTTCCTGGGAGTATGTGTCAAAGCAAAATCACTTTTTAAAACCTGTCATCCCCATGAATTCTGTGGTAGTGGGGAAAACAGTGGGTTTAGTACAGAGAGGTGGGACCTGGGCTGTCACGTTTTCTTCACCAAGGACTCAGCACTTCAGTGTTGGGGTTTGAGAGGGCTTTGGTTTTTCTTACACGGGTTTTCCTTCTTCGTGGCTTTGATTCATAAAGGTAAAACTTCACCTGCACAGCAGAATTCCAGTGCACTGAATCCAGAATGGAAATTTAAAGCCAAAAGAAGAGGCAACTTGATTTTTTTATAAACAAACTCTGCAGGGAACTTGCTGCAAAGGCAATGAACAAAGTGTTAAAGTGTGGTGATCACTCCAGTAATGTCTTAGGATCAGTCCAGGTTTGGATCCTTGGTGGTTTATTATTAGTTTGTGAAGTCACCAAACCTTTTGTGCTGCTCAGAATTACAAACCTCTTCCCCAACAGGCTCCCAACCAGCTGTTAATCACTACTGAGTAATTCATCCTGCCTTAAATCATTAACAACCAGCTCTTCCCCTCAGTGACAGAAATCTGTGAAAAAAATCAGTTATCAAGCATGCAAGTACTTTTCTTCCATAAATACACAACTTTTAATCACTACAGGTGAAGGTGAGAGTTAGCAAAGGCTAAGTTATCGTTTAAAGGCCAAATAAGGCAGTGACCAACATTTCTAAACTTAATTCTTCGCTTTTTCTTAGGAGGTGTTCTGGGTTTGTGTGTTCTCTGTGCTCCTTTATTTGGGGAAGAGACCCATGTGCATGAGCTCATACTGCTTAGCCCTGCCCTTCAGTCCAGGCTCCACTGGACCTGACACTGCCCAAACTTGCCAATTAACAAGTACTGGAAGTTAAAAGAGAGAACTGGGAGTTAATCCTGTTCTGTTTCTACCATTAAACAGAATCTGGCTTTTTTTCTGGGCTCTTTTCCTGTACATTATTGTGTACCCCATTTCTCGAGTGCTGTGCAGACAGAATCTCCCCTTTTCCTGGTGATGGACTAATAAAAAGGTGGAACTCCCTTATCAAACTTTTTTTTTGCAGCACCTTTCTCGTGGAATTAAAGAAATCAGGTTCTTTTCTCACCCCAGGCACTGCAAAAGCTTTCCTGTGTTCTAAGAGGGCCAAACAAACTTATGTTTGGCCTTTAATGAGGTTGTTCCCTTTCCTGGATCAGGAATTGAGATAATATTAATGCTGCCTAGGAAGAGAGACACCAGCAATGGTGAGGAAGTCTTAGCACAAAGTTAATCTCTGGATTGTCCATGAATCAAAATATGGAATCTGCCTTGTTTCCCAGGCAGCCAAGTTCTCCAGCCCAAAGGATATGACCGTAAACTTTGTCTTTTAAGCAGGAAATATTTCCCATTTTCATTCCTTCCTTACCTCAGAGCAGGTGGGGTGTGTTGTTTTGCACTGTGGCTGCTTTTGGGGAGGATCAGCAATAGGGAGGACTGAAATGTCTTGGTTGTAGGGAGAGGTTTACAGGCATCAGTTGTTCATCGAAGGCAGCACTTTGATCCCCTTCTCCTCACCATTCCTGCACTGCATTCTTCTTCAGATTCAGCAGGCAGGCATCCTCTCTAGATACAGCAAGATATCCAAACCCAGACAGGGGGTGCTGGCTCAGAAGCAAACTGGCTTTCCAAAACTATAAGTGGAAAGCCATTATCTTTCTGATTTGTGATCGAGATTCCATCTCCGGAGCTCCCACTTGTTCCATATTCACACAGCCTGGATGGAGGTGCCAAGTTAATAGTGAGGTGGCTGTGCCAGGCAGCACTTCACCACTTTGAGTTAAAGGAACATTGTCAGCCTAAGATTTCAGTTTGAATGACTTTGAAAATTCATTTTCTGCTGTGGCAACTCATAAAAAAATAGAATTTGGGGAGGTGTGATCTGTTCTGTCAGAGCTGTGGGGGTTTTTTTCTTCTTTTCATTCCGAAGGGTGACTCCAGGTCATCACTGCTGACTGACCTGTGAGGTGATTTATAGTCCTGTAGGTCCTGTAACCTGGTCACTGGGACATCCAGAAATCGACTTTCCAAACTAGGACGCTGTAATCGCTCTCTCCTCCAGGCTGGAATCAGGGCTTTCCATGCTGATGCTTCCAGCAGTAGCATCAGGATAGAAACCCCTGCTTTGGAGAACACTCTGCACCTTCTTTTTTGGGATCCCAACCCGTTCCTTATTAATGAAATCAGGTCAGAGAACAGCGAGTCACTCTCTGGGTTGGGACCCACATGGCAGGGAAGGTCAGGCCGGTGCTGAGGAGGTGACTGAGAGCTCACAGGTGCCAGAGCTTCAGGAATGGGCAGTGGGAGGCAGCAGCTCCTTCCCAAAAAGCGGATTGTGCCTTCCACTTCTCCTAATGTACCACTTGTGGCTCTCGCCTAATTCACTGGAGAGGAGTTAAAGTACTTTGAGGAGTGTTTTGTACAACAAAGTGTAAATAAAAATCCTTTAATGACTCAAATAAATCCCTGTGGCAGGGACGTCTGATGTTGCAGAGGATTATCTGGATGAAACTTGTACTCTCAAAGGAGTAACATAATCATTGCTCAGATCCTCTCGCCGCTCTCTGCCCACAAGATGCAGGAAATAACAAACTCAGATTCTGAGAAGAACCTGAGTTGTTTTTTCTTAAACAAAATTCTTTCCTCAACCTATTTTTTTTTTATTTTCCAAGATCTTTTCTCTTACTTTACCCGTCCCTCATTTTGCTTTATAAGCACATCAGGCTGGGAGGATATTTCACCACCTGCAAAATAGGTAGCAAGGATTGTATTTCAGGATTTGTTCCCATTCCAGACCTTAATTATAGAATCGTTTGGGCAGGAAAAAAACCCTAAAGTCAGGGAATTGTAGAGTACCCTGAGTCGAAAGGGACCAACAAGGATCATCAACCATTAACCCAGGACTGCCAAGGCCACCACTAAGCCATGTCTTTGGCTTAGTCTCTGACTTGTCTTTCAAGGGAGGAAATAATTAAGTTCATAACAGGGGTTCTGTTGAGAAAAGTAGCTGTAAGTTACAGGACACTGATGATGGGGACCTACTCTGAGCTGGGCATATCTCCTGCTTTCCTTGTTCCCTCCTGAAGAGGGAATAAAGTGAATCCACCTTCACTTCTCCTGGGAGAAGCATATTTATGGCAGAAAACAGAAGGAGCAATTTCCACTATAATATGTTGTCTTATCTTTAATCTGAAATTCAGTCTACACACTCTGTATTGTAAATATTTTACTTACAGCCTCACTGTGATAAAAGTTAATAGAAATGAGGACCAGGGCACAGAGAAAGGTTTTCAGAGGTGGGGCACGTTCATCTGTTTCCCAGCTGTGCTGTGGCTTTTCTTCCTCACACTTTCCTGTCAATCAAGAATTTGAGAATGATATTCAGAAAAAGAAACCGTGTCTCTACTCAGTTCTAAAATATTTCCAAAGTGGAAGCCTGTCCCCCATGAACAGAGAGAAAGAAACCGAGCTGAGAAATGTTTTCATGTTCTATAGAAACAAATTCAGCCTTCTCTTCTTGAGCTGTTGCTCCAGTTGTGCCCTGAGCTTTAAACTCTTCATAAAGAAATGGAGGCACTGAGCTTGCATTGCCTTTTCTGCTTCTCGAGGAGAAGGGTTGATGTGACGCTTTCCCTTAAAAAAAACACCCCATCTCTTCACTTGGAAAACTTCAGCGCATGTCTGATCATATCAAATCCTAAACTTTGGCATCATTTTATACAAAAAAATGCAGTTGGGTGCCTCCAGAACTGACTGGGTGCCAAGCTGTCTGGGTTTAGCCTTGGTTTCTAGGATTACATAGGTGGGGCCTTCTCAGATTCAATTTGTGTCTTTGCCTCTCTCCAGAAAGTTGAGATTGTAGAGTGCAGATGTCTCCTCGTTAGGGGTGGTTTGGCACTGGCAGATGCTCCATCAGCGCTTCATAATCTGCACAGGCAGGCGACAAACTGTCGAAAGGATCTGAAATATTGCTCTCAGTCTCTGTGAGGCAGGAGCTTTTTATTATTTTATGTAATCTTGGCACTTTGAGAAACTTTCTGTCTCCACCATGAGGAGCCTCAGTGGTTTTATCATAGAAAAGATGTCAGCCCAGAGCTCCACACTCTCCACTTCCATGCAGTTCATAGAACCACCGACTGGTTTGGGTTGGAAGGACCTAAAAGATCATCTCATTCCAACCCCCTGCCACGGAGGTTCTCCACAACGTATCTTGTACAGTGGTGCCTTCTTCCAAACCCTTCATGTGTAGCGTTAAAGGCTCGTGGCAAAGGTCCTGTTGATGGAGAGACGAGGAAAAGGCACAAGGAATGTAAAGCAAATGTTTCTGAATATTGGAGGTAATACAGACAATCCCACAAAACTCACACACCCCCCCTCTGTACAGAGGGCACAAACGCACAGACATGCACATACCCACAGATATCTGAACACACTAAACATTGTTAATTATTACTAAACATTGTAGAGGCATATTTACATGTATGCTTTTAGTTATATATTTAGGAATAACGATACTTACAACTTAGTGCCATGGTCTGGGAACCACGGCAGGGTTGGATCAAGGGTTGGACTTGATGATCTCAGGGGTCCTTTCCTACCTGGCTGATTCTGTGATTCTGTGATAGCTGTTTCCTTGGGGAAGTCCTTAAAACAGTACTGGGTGACTTCCATGGTGCTGAACCTGATAATAAGGAAACACTCAGTTTAAGAATGAAATTAATTCTTTGGCGTTTTTTTTAACAGCAGATGAAGTTCTCAATGCATATTTTATAATTCAGTGTGTGGCTGCACTTCCCACACTTCATTTTGCAGCAAAGGATTTCTGTCTATGGAGCAGCAGTAGCCGTGCCCTGACTCTGTGGTTTTTAAATGCCCCTGTCTGTTTTTCCCTTCCTCCAGCTCCAGGAAGAGCCCCTGCAACAGCTCGGTGCCAAATGACACGAAGAGGCCGGCAGAGCTGATTGGTCAGGAGGTGGTTCTGGTTTCCTTCCTCCTGCTGCTCCTGGTCTGGTTCCTGAACCGAGAGTTCGAGGTCAGCTACCGCCTGCACTACCACGGGGACGTGGAGGCCGATCTCCATCGCACCAAAATCCAGAGCATGAGGGATCAAGCTGACTGGTTGCTGAGGAATATCATCCCGTACCACGTGGCTGAGCAGCTGAAGGTGTCCCAGAGCTACTCCAAAAACCACGACAGTGGCGGGGTGATCTTTGCCAGCATCGTGAACTTCAGCGAGTTCTACGAAGAGAACTACGAGGGGGGCAAGGAGTGTTACCGAGTGCTGAACGAGCTCATCGGGGATTTCGACGAGCTGCTGAGCAAAGCCCACTACAGCAGCATCGAGAAGATCAAAACCATCGGGGCCACCTACATGGCGGCCTCGGGGCTGAACACGTCGCAGTGCCAGGACAGCAGCCACCCCCACGGACACCTGCAGACCCTGTTCGAGTTTGCCAAAGAGATGATGCAGGTGGTGGACGACTTCAACAACAACATGCTGTGGTTCAATTTTAAGCTCCGGATCGGCTTCAACCACGGCCCCCTGACGGCCGGGGTCATCGGCACCACCAAGCTGCTGTACGACATCTGGGGGGACACCGTGAACATCGCGAGCAGGATGGACACCACCGGCGTCGAGTGCCGCATCCAGGTGAGTGAGGAGAGCTACCGCATCCTCAGCAAGATGGGGTATGACTTTGACTACAGGGGGACGGTCAACGTGAAGGGCAAGGGTCAGATGAAGACCTACCTTTACCCAAAATGCATGGACAACGGGATTGTGCCGCATCACCAGTTGTCTATATCTCCAGACATTCGGGTTCAAGTGGATGGCAGCATCGGGCGGTCTCCCACGGACGAGATTGCCAACCTGGTGCCTTCTGTACAGAATTCTGATAACACAGCCCATGGCACAGATAACTCAGAAAACAAGGACATCCCTCCTTCCGCCAAGAAGCTCCAGCAAGAGGCGGCGAAGGCAGAGGAGAGGGGCAGGTTCGGCAAAGCCACGGAGAAGCCTGACTGTGAGGAAGCGGGGACTGAGGAGGTCAATGAACTGACAAAGCTAAATATCTCTAAGAGTGTATGATGCACTGTCAGAGTTGCATGAAGTGCTCTGTCCGTAGAAACACACTGACTTTTGCAATTGGCAGTTTTCTTTTTCAAGAGAGACCGTCTCCACCCCCGGGTCGTACGTTTGCGTTCATTTCGGCGCCTGGGGCTGTGTGGATCACAGCTCTTCAGGGCTTGTCTTCATCCATCTCTCTCCTTCATGCCCCAAATCACATCTCAAGCTCCCCAGCTCCCCTGTGCAACCATCTTACAGCTGAGTAGAGGATATTAAGTGCCTTCAGATATACTCCATTGGACTCCCTGTCAAGGTACAGAGGCCCCAAGTGAAATCATAGCTTTGGGTATTTATCTAATTTTAAAGAAAAGCTGTGGTTATATCATTTTTATTGTTGTTTCTCACAAAACACTTTTTTTGGCTAATGCAACTCCTTGGGTTTTTTATATCTCTCGGAACAATGTTTTACTGTTATCAGACCTTTTGTATGTAACACACAGACATGTGCATGTATCTACCATATGAGACTGCTATAAAGTGCCAGTAACGCACCACAAGAATGTCTGGGCGAGGGGTGACACGCTCTGGGTCGGGCTGGAGGAGGAGCCGTGCCGTGGCTCAGCCTGTAGTTAGGGCAGGAGGAGCAGCCGCCGCAGTTCTGTTCCCCTTTACTGATGCTTTCTTCAGCCTCCACGTGCCATCGTGTGCTTTGGATACACTTCTTTTCCGTATAGCCAATGAGTTACTGATATGTGGGAGAGGAATAAGGGTTGGGACAGCACCAGCTCTCGGGACAGGTTTCCAGAAGCAGCTGAGAGACCTCGGGAGTGTTGCAGTGCAGGGCTCACAACTCCCAGCGCCGTCCGGGGTTGCTCCGTACGCGGCTGAGGTGGCCAAGGTAGGTGGCGTCGGTGTCTCTGAGCTGATTGGAGAGAGAGAGAGACTGAGAGAGAGAGAGAAAAAAAAGCAAAATAAATGTTTTGGGAATGCCTTTATTTATTTATTTATCTATTTTATTCCTGTTTGGCTTTTTTTTTTTTTTTTTAAATTTTCTTTTCTTTGGGGATTTTCACGTGTGCGGAAGGGATCGGGAGAGAGGAACCGGGGATTGGTTTAAGGGGAGTAATAAGATGGTGTTTCGGCCTCTTCGAGCTACCAACCACTGTGAGGATGTTACCTTAGGCAATATTTGTTTCCAAGCTGGAGACACTTCAGAAGCCACCAAACGCAGTTGAGTATCCCAGCTTCCCCCTGGACCCAACCAATGGTGCTGCACAATATTTTTCAGGATTTTCCCCCCACACACACTGTGCTTGTGCAGCAGGGAACGGGGCAGCGTGCTCCCTGCGTGCCACTGAAAGCAGGAATGGGGAAAGAGTCCTTGTAGTGAGCTGAGAAGCACAATCATTTCCCAGTCCTGTGGATGAATCCATGCAGCCCTGGGAGCGGGTTCCTGCATGAGCTCAGGAGCTGCTGGCACAGAGGGAACTGTGGGATGTGGGCCAGGGGCTATGCCAGTCTGTCCTCTGCTTCCCTCGCCTCCTTCACTGGTGTTTGATGCCCTGCTTTGGATTGACCATTCAACTGTTCCCATTCAGCCAGCTCCTTGTGACACCAAATAAAGGATTTTGATGCCCAAAAGAAGTTCATCAGCCAGGGAAGAGCTGGGGGAGGGCAGTGCTGTGCTGGCTGCGTGGTGCTGGGGGCTGTGGTTCTTTCCATCCGAACTCAAGGCAGAATATATTGATTATTCTTCTTATCCCCATGTGATTTTGGGGGTATGAGTAATAACTGTATCCATTGTGGGGTTCCTATTGGAGAGCCATCTCCACTCCACGGGTCAGCATGGAGCCCTCGAAGCCTTTCTCAGATATAATTTTGGGGGATTTCTGGATCTCAGTTAAACAGGACTCTGCACACTAGTCCCACAAAAGCTGCTGTTTATGCACATCAGTATTCTATTTGATAGGAAAGCTGTTCAGAATTCATCTTGCTCAATCTGCCAGCACACAGAAATCCAGGGGACCCTCATCCTGGAATCCCTGTGCCACAAGTGCTGTTGCCAGTTTGGAGGCTGTTCCTGACGAGCAGCAGTGTGAGGTGTTTGGAGTGCACAGTTTTCCAGCAGCTTCCTCCTCCCTAGGTTACAACTCCCCCCTCCCTGTAGTGAGTTGCACTTCCAACTTTCAGGTAGTAATTCTGCAAATACCTCTTGCATCCAAAGAATGTATTCCTGAAGCATTTCTAGGGTTCTTGGTTCAGTTGAGGAGTCTCAGTGTTCCTTTTGCTACAGTCGAGGATCTGACATGGTCCAGAACTGTTTACATGCCTTCTAGTGTTATATTCTTGCTCTCAGAGTTGTTCCAGCCTCTCTCCCTGCCTCTTCTTTCTCCCCATCTTATAGAGCCGGGCCATCCCTGCTCCCTCCCTGCTCAGCTGTTTCCAATGGCAGGGCTCAGTCGGGACGTGCCAGCTCCTTGAGATGCTGCACAATATCCAAACCCCGGGAGAGGTTGGCGTCTCGTGGTAAACCCAAAGGAAGGAGGTGCTGGAGCGGGGCCTGGACCCAAAGCACCTTCCTCCTCGTCCTTCAAGCACTGCAGGTGCAAAACCCTTCTCCTCCAGCCCGTAAAGTGCTCACCGTTCTTGTGCCGCCACCGGGGGGCTGCGGGGGGAGCGCTGGGTTTGTGGGAACACCGGGAAACCAAAATACAGCCCACCAGGGCCTCTTTGTGTTGGCACTGAGCAGATAAAGGGACTGAGGGCAGGGCCATTAGTGGGTCCTGAAATCAAGGGCCGTTGTGTGCTCTGGGAGCTACCAGTGACGTTCCTCTGCCTTAACTCTGGAGCTGGGAAGAGTCGCAGCGAGTCGGGTGAGCGGTGCCTTCATCTGCTCCTTGCGAGGCCAGCAGCGAGGCTTCCACAGCTGGGGCTGCGGCTCTCGGGGGTTACATCTCTCTACTGCAGTGGAATAACCAAACCAAGAGGTTCAGCTCTTGGTGTATGATTTGGAGAGGGAGGTTTTCCAGGCACAAAGAGCCGGGAGCCACCCGTTTCTGTTGTAAAGCGCCGGGAACTGAACCTTTACAGCTTCCCTTTCTGCCTCTGAAGGTTCGTCCTAACACACAAACGGCTCTGGGGGCGTCCTCAGCGGGATTGGGCGGCTCTGCTGCACAGTCCTGCCCACGTGTGTGCTGCTGGGAGGCCGCCACGGGCAAAGCTCACTCTGTTAAAATCCCCGTGTGCGCCGTGGGTGCCAGCACAGAGCTGTCAGCGAGCGGGGAGGGCTTTTGTTCCACAAGGACAGTCAGCGCCGATTTTTAGGGTCGTTTAATGGTGATGAGTTAAAAATGATCCAGAGAAGGAGGTTGGGAAGGTTGCTGAGTGTTTAAGATCCCCGTGTCCCCTTCTGCCGCTTGCAGGACCTACTCTGGAGCACGGAGTAATGACGAATGCGCAGGTTATTGTCAGCAGGGAGGTCTGAACCTGTTGCTAACACACCAAAATGCTGATTTTCCTCCTGGCTGAGAGGTTTCTCATTGAGGAGAAGGTAAATAGCATTCCTGTTGATTTATACCTGGCATTATGATTTTGAGAAGGATGGATTTGCCTGTTATTTCCCAGGATTTGGGGCCATTCCCCTTTGCTGGAGGTAATGTGAGCCCTGCGAGCAGGGTGGGCTGGTGCTGCTGCCTGGCTGTGGCTCCTGCTGTGTCCCTGGAAGATTTTGGGGTGATAAAATAAGGGGAGGAGAGGATGGATTCTCCAAGGGCTTTACAAAACACATCAGTATTTGGATAATGTCACTTTAGGGCTAAAACACAGAAAGGAGGTGCCTGGAGCAAAACTGAAGGGAGCTACAAACCAAGAGCCTCTGAATGTCCCTGTGTGTTTCCACATCCTGGAGTTGAGGAGATGAGGAGAAGGGAACGTGGAATGAGGTGTCAGGTGGTTCCAAAGGCTGATCTGTGTGTCCAGGTGTGATGTCTGTGCCTGGTGGCTGCAGGGGAAGGTGTCTTGGGTGTGAAGCTGAGCTGTGTTTGTGCTCTGGGAGGGGCACCAAGGTGCCTTAAAATTGGCTGATTTTATTAAAATCTGCGTTCATGCCACCCTCTGAACTCTGTCCAGACGGTTTCATTGGTAAAAACAGGACACCAGGGGCTTATTGCCCTATGAGATTTTCTTTTAAAATCAAATGTCAGGCTCTGAAAAGGTTTGAGGAGAAAATAAAACATGGGTGGAACATGTCTTAGAGGTGCAGTGTGAGGGTGCCATGGTGAGGAGGTTTGAGGTGCTTTGTGGACACAGAGTAGAAATATCGTGCAAGTATTGTGTATAAAACCTTTTCCAGGTCTTTATGATGTGAGCTGAACTTGTGTCTCAGCCCTGGTGAGCAGCTGGGCTGTACAACACGGGCAGAACTGTTTGCTGCCCATCTTCAGGAGTTGATACTGGCTTGGGAGGAAGAAGATTAGCTTGGAAAAAATAGATTGGTAGAAGATACCAAAAGCTTTTTTTCCCCTGGTCCCTTATTGTAGCTGTTAAAGTTTTTCTGCCCTGGGGCAGGTGCTCGGTGTCTTCCCACACGCTGCTCCAGAGCTGGAGTTTGATGTCCTTTCCAGGGCTGTCCCATGTGCCTGTCTCCAATCAGAGATCAGTGTCATTGGGCTTTCTGCTCTCAGCCTCTCCTGTCCTGCCTTGGGGTGGTTTGCTCCGTTCTCTCCCTGTTTTCTGGCTCACTGCAACAAGTTTATAGAATCCTGGAATGGTTTGGGTTGGAAGGGACCTTAAAAACAATCTCAATCCACCCCCTGCCATGGGCAGGGACACCTTCCACCAGCCCAGGTTGCTCCAAGCCCTGTCCAGCCTGGCCTTGGACACTTCCAGGGCTGGGGCAGCCACAGCTTCTCTGGGCAACCTGTGCCAGGGCCTCACCACCCTCACAGGGAAGAATTCCTTCCCAATATCCCATCTAACCCTGCCCTCTGGCAGTGGGAAGCCATTCCCTGTGTCCTGTCCCTCCATCCTTGTCCCCACTCCCTTTCCAGCTCTCCTGGAGCCCCTTTAGGCCCTGCAAGGCTGAACACCCCCAGCTCTCCCAGGCTGTCTCCATGGCACAGGTGCTGCAGCCCCTGGAGCATCTCTGTGACCATCATGGATTTGAACATCCAGAAATGTCAGCACTCATTGAAGCTGAAGAACTGCAGAGAAGATCATGGCTGGGAACAGTTAAAGAAATTAAGTTTCAGCTTTTATCAGTGATGCTCGGACCAGTTTGTTATCCAGCTCAGTGCCAGGTGTGTGGAGAAACCAGTGGCACCACTTACACATTCCTAATTTGAGCATTGACTCCCAAATCCTCCTCCAGATGAGTCAAAACGAAGCAACTTTCTTGAGTTTTTCCTTCTTTTCCTCCCTTGGTCACTCATGTCTTTGTATCCACCTTAATGCACCTGCTCAGTGTTAGTTTGGAATTGGAGATGGTTTGTATGGAGATTGAACTCAGGGCAGGGAAGGACACGGCACATGGTCCGTGTGTGGGGGGGAAATGCCTCCTCAGAGTCTCTGGGGCTTTGCCTTTATTGAGTGAGCCCAGAGCTGTGTTTGGGATGGATTTCCAGTGCTGGCTGTACAACTCCTGTCCCTGTTCAGGAGCCCCTGGTTGCCCAAGTGACCCTGTCCCCAATTTACTTGCTTCTGGTTCCAGAGACCCTGTTGAGAAACAGAGATGTACAATATATATGCTAAGACAGAGCCTGTTACACCCCACTCTACAGCTTTAAACTTCCAAAGTAATAAACTCTCTAAAGCCAAGAGCCTTAAGAACCCCAACATCTGCTGAGACAAACAACACAGTTCTAAGTTTGAGCTGAATATTTGGGAATTTTTCCTGCTCGATGGCGGGTGTCTCCAGTTAGCGAGGAGGCAGCAGCAGTATCCAAAGATGACAAGGACCTTGGCCACCC